GTGGGATTTGTTTTAGTGTTCAGAACCTGGGGGTGATAAGACCTGAGCCTGATCTTAAGAAGGAAAATGTGGATGGTCTAAATCTGGAGGTATTTAGGTGGAAAAGACTGAAGTGGAAAGACAGCAGCTGAGACAGCAGTGATAGTGGCGCAGCAGAGCTAGCGAAGAGTGCCCGAGGAGAGGTAGGGGGAGTGAGTGGAGGGCTAGGAGCCTGCAGGGAGGAGGAGGAGCTAAAGGTGGATCAGAGACTGGTCCATTTAATGATTGGTGATTGTTAGCCCACTTAAGCACACCAAAAGTGTGTGAGACACAGCAAAAAAAAAAAAAAAAAAAAAAGTATTTTAAGTAAATTGGTAAAACAAGTAAATGTATTGTTTTGCCAGATTAAAAAGATGGTTTAAAGGTGATAAAGAGAATAGGAGTTTTCCATTAATAAGCTCCATTCAACAAACATTTAATAGTCTACATAAGTGCTATATTTGCGGGGGGGAAAACCCCCACTACATTTAATTTTGCACAGAAATTGCCAAATTATTTTAACTAACTTTGAGGCCTCAGAATTCTTGTCCATAAAATAAGGAGATTGGATCAGATAATTTCTAAGGTCACTTTGAGGTCCAAAATTTTATAACTCCATTACTGAGAAAATGTCTGAACACAGAAATACCCAGTGCATATATCTAAATATTCGTTGCATGAAGGAAATCTTGTGCTGCTTCTAAAACACTATGATATTTCTGAGATAGTTTCCTTTTCCCCTTCATTACTTAATGCTTTAGAAGAGTACATCTTCTGCATAGGCATTTCTGAATTTGCCTATACACCTACCAACCTTCCCTCTCCTGAAAACTTTCAGATGCTTCTTCATTGTTTTAGTCATTTGCCACTTTAATAAAATTCTTTGGCAACTTTATTTTGGTGGGTAGGGATCAAGGACAGTGCAATGAGGCAATTTGCAAATTCTGATAGTTCCATCTACTCCGTGTGAAAGCTTCCTGATGTTTTATATGGTACTCATTAATCCAGAGACCAGGGGTTAGCTAACTATGGCCCATGGGCTAAAACGGTTTTTACGTTTTAAAAGGGTTGAAAAACTTAAAAATGGAAGGATACATGACAGAGACTGGATGACCTACAATGCCTAACATATTATCTAGCCCTTTACAGAAAAAAACTTCCAACACTTATGATCCAAGACTTGAAAGAGTCACAGGTAACAGAGTGGAACACATTCTTGACGTGTTAGGAACTTGAGTCATAATTTGTTGTTGACTCAGAACAAGTGTTTGGGGTTATCGGCCTCAGAGGTAAGAAAATAAAGTTTTAACTAAGATTAACCCACAGAAGTTGATATTAATACTAAGGTTTTGACCTAATAATAATGAACCTGTATAAATTGTGTGCAGTGTGCCAGTCCTGGGTGAGATCCCGTGCCAACATTTGCTGTGCACTAGCTATTTTAATTGCTACCACCAGGGTCCTCTTGGCTCTGCAGTTTACTAGCTGTTTGGCCTTGGGCAGATTTCTTAATCTCTCTGTATCTCATTTTCTTCCTCTTCAAAATGGGAACAGAAATAGTGCCTACCTCATCAAGTTGTTTGAGGGTTAAATGTACTCATGGAGAGCATACAGAATAGCGCCTAGCTCATAATAAGCTCTCAGTAATTAGAATTACCATTATTTTCCCAATTTTTCACATGTAAGAATTAATGTTTAGAGAAAATAAGTTGCTTATTATCACAAAATAGTGGGACCCAGACTTGACCATTAATCTCTGTTATGCGCAACTGCTAGAGATGGCCAACCAATTGGACGGAGGCTGCTCAGTAGCCAAATAAAAAGGAATGTTGTGATGTGGCAGGTAACTTCTTTGACCACATATCTGCAAAGACATCGCACTGAGTGTGTTTTGCTGCCAGCGTACAATTCAGTAGTGATCAGTGCAGTTCTCATGTTGTTTGCAGTGGGTCTCAAGTGAAGCTGGAGGTCTCCGCTGGTAGTTAGTCACCAGGAGCCAGGTATGCGTAGCGCCTTGCATTGCATAGAACAGTCCCTCTTTATCCTGCCCAGATGCCAGTGGGCACTGCTATGGTCTGAATGTTTGTTTTCCTCTTAAAATTTATGTGTTGAAACCTAACCCCCAAGGTGATGGTATTAGGAGGTGAGGTCTTTGGGAGGTGATTGTATCATGAGAGCAGAACCCTCATGAGTGGTATTAGTTCCCTTATAAAAGAGAACCCAGAGAGGTGCCTTGCCCTTCCTACCATATGAGGACACAGCAAGAAGGCACAGTCTGTGAGAAGGTAGGCCTTGCCAGACACCACCAGTGCCTTGATCTTGGATTTCCCAGCCTTCAGAACTGTGAAAAGTAAATTTCTGTTCTGTATAAGTTACCTAGTGTTTGGCATTTTGTTATAAGCAGCTTGATTGGACTAAGACAGGCCCTTTTGTAAAACACTGAGAGAGGGATGTGCTTTATACCCTTTTGGGGATCCTTCTCTGTAGAATTCTTTTTTTCAAAAGACTAATTTTTTTCTTTTATTAATAAATCTTTTATTTTTAAATAACATTTTTATTGGTACATAGTTGTACATATTATGGGGTACTTGTGATATTTTGATACAAGCATACAATGTATAATGATTCAATCATTAAATTAGGGTAATTAGGATATCAAAACATCTATCTTTCTTTTGTTGGTTACATTCGAAATCTTTAGCTATTTTTAAACATACAATAAATTATTAATATATCCACCCTTTAGTGCTATCAGACACTAGAACTTCTACCTTCTATCTAACTGTATTTTTGTACCCATTAACCAGCCTCTTTTTATCCTTCTCCCCCTAGTATTTGCCCAGCCTCTGGTAACTATCATTCTAGTCTCTACCTCCATGAGAACAACTTTTTTAGCTCTTACATATGAACGAGAACATGCAAATATTTGTCTTTCTGTGCCTGGCTTATTTCAGTTAACATTGTGACCTTCAGTTTCATCCATGTTGCTGCAGATGGTAAGATTTCCTTCTTTTTTAGTAACTAATACTCCCTCGTTTTTATAGACCACATTTTCTTTATTCATCTGTTAATGGATACTTAGGTTGAGTCTATATCGTGGCTATTGTGAACAGTGCTGCAACCAACACAGAAATGCAGATGTCTCTTTGACATACTGATTTCCTTTCTTTTGGGCATATACCCAGTGGTGGGATTGCTACATCATATAATAGATCTATTTTTAGTTTTTTGAGGAATCTCCATACTGTTTTTTATACTGGCACTAATTTACATTCCACCAAAGGGTATGAGCATTCACCTTTCTCTGCATTCTTGCCAGTGTCTGTTATTTTTTGTCTCTTAGAGGACAGCCATTTTAACAGGGATGAGATGGTATCTCACTGTGGTTTTGATTTTCATTTCCCTAATTATTAGTGATATTGAGTATTTTTTCATATACCTGTTGGCTGTTTATATGTCTTCTTTTGAGAAATGTCTGTTCAGATCATTTGCCTATTTTAAAATCACAGTATTTTTACTCTTGAATTGAGTTCTTTATACATTCTGGTTATTAATCTTTTATTGGATAGTTTGCAAATATCTCCTCCCATTTTGTAGGTTGTATCTTTACTCTGTTGTTTCTTCTGCTGTGCAGAAACTTTTGTGCTTTATGCAATCATATTTATCTATTCTTGATGTTGCTGCCTATGCTTTTGAGGTCTTACCCAAAAAATCTTTGCTCAGACCAGTGTTCTGAAGCCTTTCCCCAACGTTTTTCTTCTAGTAGTTGGATATAATACTTTCAGGTCTTAATTTATTTCATCCACTTTGATTTGGTTTTTATATATAGTGAGAGGTATGGAATCTAGTTTCATTCTTCTGCATATGGGTATCCAGTTTTCTCAGCACCAGTTGTTGAAGAGGCTGTCCTTTCCCCAATGTATGTTCTTGGCACCATTGTCAAAAATGAGCTGCCTATAAATGTGTGAATTTATTTCTGGGTTCTCTATTCTGTTCTATTGGTCTGTGTGCCTGTTTTCATGGCAGTACCATGTTGTTCTGGTTCTTATGGCTTTGTAGTATATTTTTAAGTCAGGTAGTGTGATGCCTCCAGCTTTTTTTTCTCAGGCTTGCTTTGGCTATTAGGAGTCTTTTGTGGTACATATGAATTTTAGAATAGTTTTTTTTTTATTTCTGTGAAGAATTTTATTGGTATTTTAATAGGGATTGTATTGAATCTGTAGATTGCTTTGAGTACTATAGATATTTCAATCCTTGACCATGGGAAATCTTTCCATTTATTTTTGTCTTCTTCCATTTATTTCATCAGTGTTTTATGTTTTCATTATAGAGATCCTTCACTTTGGTTAAATTTATTTGTGGGTATTTAATTTTTTTTAGCTATTGTAAATAGGATTGTTTTCTTGATTTCTTTTTCAAATTGTTAGCTATTGGTGTCTAGACATGCTACTGATTTTTGTATGTTGATTTCGTATCCTGTAACAGTACTGAATTTATCAGTGCTAATAGTTTTTGGTAGAGTCTTTAGATTTTTCTAAATACAAGATCACATTGCCTATGAACAAGGATAATTTGGCTTTTTCCTTTCCAATTTGGAGGCTGCTGCATTCTTTTTCTTTCCTAATTGCCCTGGCTAGGACTTCTAGTACTGTGTTGAATAAAAGTGGTGAAAGTGGGCATCTTTATCTTGTTCCAGATCTTTGAGGAAAGGTTTTCAGTTTCCTCTTATTAGCTGTGGGTTTGACATACATGTCCTTTTTATTTATTTTATTTATTTTTTTTATTTTGGAGACACAGTCTTGCTCTGTCACCTAGGCTGGAGTCTAGTGGTATGATCTCGGCTGACTGCAACCCCTGCCTCCTGGGCTTAAGCAATCCTCCCCTGTCAGCCTTCCAAGTAGCTGGAACTACAGGCATGAGCCACCAACACCCAGTTAATTTTTGCATTTTTTGTAGAGACAGGGTTTTTTTACATATATGGCCTTTATTATTTTGAAGTATATTCCTTGTATACCCAGTATTTTGAGAGTTTTTATTATGAAGGGATGTTGAATTTTAGTGAATGCTTTATTCAGCATCTGTTGAAATGATTATATGGTTTTTGTTCTTGATTCTGTTAATGTGATATATCGTGTTTATTGATTTGTGTTATGTTAAACCATCCTTGCATCCCTAGGATGGATCTTACTTGATCATGTGAGATCTTTCTAATGTGTTGTTAAATTTAGTTTGCTTGTGTTTTCCATGAAGATTCCTAGACCGGGGGAGATCGAACATTCACCTCCAGTTCCCTCCTTCACCAGCAACCGTGGTGAAAATCTCTGTGAGTAGCACTATGCCAGCTTAGGGGAAGGGGTGGCACAGTGTGAAATGACTGTTTATCTTACGTGTCATGGCTTTTCTCAATTCTGTGTGCCTAGGTGATTTCTCTGCTTCTCCCTGAGTTCTGGTATATTCAGGGTGGTATTCTTGTCTCTGATGGTTTCTAATTGTATTTTTGTCAGGGGCGTGATGCTGGGGATTGTCTGTTCCACCATCTTGCTAACTTCACTCTAAAACTCTATTTTTGAATAATCTTATATCTATAGAAAAGTAGCAGAAATAATGCAGAGTTCTTTTATTTTTCACTCAGTATCCCCAAATGTTAACATCTTATAGCACCATAGTATAGTTATCAAAACCAAGGAACCAATATTGGGAAATTACTATTCACTAAACTTCATACTTTGTTTTGGATTTTACCAGTTTTTCCACTGAGGTCTGTCCCAAGGTCTGATCGAGGATCGCACAGTGCATATATTTCAACAGGCTTTTAGTAAATATTGGGATTCAAGGCTTTGCCTCGGACTAGATATGAGAGTGCAAATCATCTCTGTCCCTCTACCTCCCTAGGTAGTCATGCTGTACAATCTTGGGACACAGGGTAAAGTGAAGGCCTCTCCAGGCAGGCAGGTAAGTCATCAGGCCACTCCATGAATTTGGGAGACCATGAACACACAGACGGGCCCTTCCTCAGCAAGTAGCTCTGTGTTTTCGGCAGTAGGAATAAGCAGGCACTGAGGCTTCAGTAATTGGCAAAAAGCAGAGCTTCCTGTGGGAAACATAATTTGAATAAGGAAGAAAAAGGAGATTTGTATTATATAAGTTTGACTGTCTCTAAAGAAAGTTAAACTTTATTGCACAACGACTGCTTCTTTCTTCTTCCTTTTCCTCCTCCTCCTCTCTTCCTTCTTTTTCTCTTTTCTTCTCCTCCTTTTTCCTTCTCCTCCTTTCTCCTTCCCTTTCCTCCTTCTCTTCCTCCTTCTCCCCATGCTTTTTCTTCTCTTTCTTCTCCCCTTCCTCCTTTTCATTCTCCTCCTCCTCCCAAATTTTTTTTTCCATGGACCCCCCTTTTTTTTGAAAAGTTTTTTTTTTTTTTTTTTTTTTTTTGCTTAGTATCTGTTCATTTCTCCCAGAACCATAGTTTGGAATTAATGGACAAACAGTAGCTAACCAGATGATAGAGATTAAAGTGAAGGGAGGGCATACACTTGAGTAGCAAAATATATTTTTAGTGAAACGCGTTGAATAGAATACTTCATGTTAGGGTCAAGTATCAGAGGAAAAACAAATACTGTTGTTAAAATCAAAGCTACTCTTCAGAATTTCATCATTTTTTTTTAATGAGAAACATATGTGTTGGTTGTCTTGTCATCTTTGACTCTCAAAATGTAACCAAGCAACTTTTAAACCAGTTGTTATGTCTCTAAAGTACCTAAGATTGTGATGCCTACATGCCTTTAACTGTTAGTAGCAGAGATTGCATGAGTTATAAGTATTCTGCTCTGTGAAAGCTCTCCATTTTTGAGGTGCCTTTGTGAAGTATTGATAGGAACCATTCTTGGGCTCTACTAACAGCCTTCTGTTGGGGAACAGGATATCACAATGCTGACAGGAGTTGGTGATAAGGAAGAGGAAAAAGAGAGCAGGTTCTTGTGTTCTTCAGAAAAGGTGAATGTTATCCTGTTGATTTTGGACCAAGGGAGTTCTCCAGTGGGAAGTGACACAGAACCTACCACAGTGCCTTTCTAATCCAGGTTTTTGGTAATGAGTGATGAATGCATCCTATGAGAGCAGAGCCCTGTGGAGTGGGTGGCAAATGTTGCTCTCCGACTACAGTTCTCTGCATAGGATGATAACACAGACTGCTTCAGATGCAGGCAGGGGCTGCTTGTCCACACTGATCAGGCATTGATTTGCATTAACATCTGTAGTGCCTTTTACCTGTGCAGTGAGATACTAGGATATGCAATAGAATAGGTGCTGGAAGAGGCATCCACTATGGGCAGACTCTTTGGATCTGTAAAGCAGCCTCTCCCATGGACTAGCCAGTGTGTACTCCTTATGTGTAGCACCAAGAAAATCCAGATGTCATTTTTTTTTTTTTTTTTTTTTTTTTTTCCCCTCCAGAGTGGCTGGATACTTGGCAGGGTGCACAATCACATGGTCTTCAGATCTTCTAAAAGCTGATTTTCCTGGGCCTAATCCCATGAGAGCTGGAGACAGTCTATGATAATTACTGATTCAGCTCCCACTGGTGTTGAACTTACTGAGAAACTAAGAATTAAAATACACACCCACACACCCTCAGATGGAGCCAAACACTAAACCAGATTAGTCTTTCGTGGTTACCTTTCCTTTAGGATTAGGAGGATCAGAAACCAAGAGCAGATTCTGAAACACTGTAACCCCATTCCCCACTGGGTCATAAGAGGCTGGTGCTCTTGAGGATGAAGGTCAGCAGCAGGTGCCAAATAGGTGCTGGCTTGTGGTCCCAGCAGGGCTGGCCTGCCACAGCCCAAGCTTGTTTCAGTTAAAAAAAATGGGTCTCTTGACCTTTCATGCCCGGGGATTCTCCGGACCTCAGATGTTTGTGAACCGGGTTCAAGGACTCTCAAGCAAGTCACTGGCAGATTGGAGAGAAGACTTGGAGATTCTAAGTGTCTGAAGCAATGAGAGGAGGGACACAAAGTCTCATTCAGTGAGACTGCAAAGTCACCTGAATGGGAAAACTTGCCCTATTGCTGGACTCGGCAATGACACCTTCAGGTTGTTCCCTGTATGGGTTGATGACGGAGTGGAGGACTCTGGGTCCCTTCTTAGTGTCAGCCTTGATGGAATTTAGTATGTTGCTTAGGAGCATGCCAAAATCAGAGCAACTCCCTTCCCAAGGGATGTTTAGTTTTCAGTTGTTAAAAATACACCCTGAGACAGAAATTTCAGGACACTTAAGTGACTTAGAAACCCATTCAGAGGTTACTCCATTCCCTTCACAAAACTCAGGCATTTCCATGTTGGTCTCAGCTGCCATCTCAATGGCTCATTCTTTCTGTATATCAGAGCAAATCTGGACCTCCCAATATGTTTTGGGGAGAAGTAGGCTTAGAGGGGTTTGCCCTGCTCTGTGAGAGAAGGAGTTTAGCAAGCATTAATTTTTCTAAGAAAGTGGCATAAGTTTTGATGTGATTTGCTGGAGAATAGTAATAGTCACAATTTATCTTATTCCCCCAAGAGAATGGGATGATGTTCCCATGGAATGTTGCTTATCCTGCTAGCAGTAACTTGTATTCTCTGATTTATACAAACAAGAAATAGAGGGTGATGGTGGGGGAAATGATACCAGGAAATAGTTTTTTGCAGGGATTTAGAATGTGTCACTGGGCTTCAAGATAGGAAGAATCTTTGCCTTGATGCTGATGACGGTAACCACCCCACCCACCATCATCTATTAAGGATTTACTGTGTGGTCACTTTATAGTCGTCTAAGTAAATTTCCATAATTACCTGATAAGATGGGTACCACTTTTCAGAAAAAGAAACTGAGATTTCTGGAGGGTAAGTAACCCAGATAGCACAGCTGGGCCACCTGTCTGCCTGTCAAGCATCAAGACAGCATTTGGCCTCTGCGGGTGTTGTCACATGTGCTGGGCTCTGTCATTAATTGGTGGAGCTGCTTATTTCCACAAACACCTAAGATGCAGTATGCACCCTCTGTTTCAAGTGAGGTCCTTGGACCAACAGCATGGCAGCAGCTGGCAGCTTGTCCTTGACGCAGAACGCCAGGCACTCCCTGGAGCTACAGCATGAGATCCCCAGGTAGGCGCATGTGCATCCAAGTTTTGAACCACACTACTCTTTGCCACTACGGAGGAACATATCCTTTACTCTCCCTCCCCTTTGTCTCATCTTGTCTGGTAATTTTAAATTATTTAAAAGTAAGTTATAGAAAATCATACTGTCTCAAAATGGCTTACCAAGAAATATTCAAAGCTTAGGATCAGAAGCTTGAAATGAAGATTTCTATGTATCTTTGAATTGTTTTACAGAAATTAAAAAAAAAAATCCAGACATCTAAAAGATGATGATTTTCAGAATTCATAATAACATGGTGTTCTTCATGGTGTCGGGACCGAGTTCTTGCTGAGGTTTGCACTGGGCTGTGTCCCCCAGGCAGCTGCAACACAGCACAGAGCCACCCTTGCCATCTAAGCCTTGCCGCTGGAGGGCAAGAGGGAGGACCAAGCTGTCAACAGCCCCAGACCTGCCAAGCCCCATTAGTCTGTGTGCCTGCCAGGATTCTAAAACTCCTTTTGGGAATTTTGACTTTTACTGAATTGTGAAATTCTGTGTATATATAGCCTTGGTGAGCTGACCCAGTCAGGGATGACTCTGATACATTTTGTCTTACAAGATTCAGAATCCAAGGCTACAGGAGGTAATAAGGCCATTGGGAGGGCCTGCCTCTCCTTCTCAGCTCTCCCCACCCCACAATGTGTGGGTCTCCATTCTGAGATTTCCATTCAGGTATGTCACAGTTCTGCAAACTATGATAGGACTAGAAGTGAACACATTGTTGCAGGGATTCGGAGTGCATCAGGCTTTGTAAATAGGCTGTGGAACCCGGGGTACCTGGGCTTGTATTGCTTTCTGGTCCCTCAAAATGGGGAACATCACAATATTGAAGAAAATGAGAGTCACTAAATACAGCTTGCCATTTCTGCCTGCATTTTATTCTTTGGAGCCCAGAGATACCAAAATTATTCATGGTGAGCTTGTTTTGGCAGAACAGCATTAATTTACATCTGTGTTAGCAGTACTGCATTTTTGTACTTTGAAGTCAGACAGATCTGGATTTGAATCCTAGTTTTAGCACTAGGACCTTACTCTAAGACTTTTTAAAGTTCAGGCTTAGCATATTTTTAATGCCACTTTTTGTCATTTAGAGGAGGTAAAGCAGCACATAGCTTAAGGACACTGCATGCCTACCCACCATGGCAGCATGTGTCCCCAGCTGTCAGGTGGGACATGGACTTCCTGATGCCCATCTCCTGAGACTGTTTGAGGCCTGGCCAAGGACAGCAACAGGTGGTGCAAAGGGCAAGGTGCTCCCTCCACATAACTGAAATGTGCCTTTCTCCAGAGCCTCTCAGTTTTCTGGTGGCCTGATTAGTTTCAGAATACTAAATGGCTAATGTATTTATCCATTATGGCCTCATTGACTTTGGAAATGTACTTAATTTTTAAAACTTTGCTTTAGTGCCTTCATTTCTGCACTCCTCCAGCACTTTCTATGAATTATTTTAAAGGCAACTGAGCACAGAGCACAAGCCCATTTTTCTAGCTACAGCATGGACATGCCTGAAGCACACGCCCAGCTTGCATCACCTTCCAGTCCACTGCCTAGAGATAGAACAAAAACTTAATGCTCAGGAGGCTTCTGAGAGGCTCCAGGGAGTCGCTGAATTCCTTAAAGAAGGGAAAGGTCAGATCCTGATCAGGGCGACACTGTCAGTAATTCTAGAACTTTCACAGGTTAAAATATTTTATGTTTATACAAAAGAGTCATGTATAAAATGTTTTTTGTTCAGTTTACGTATTTAAAAAGGACTGTGGTAATTTCAAATGCTTTGTGCTTACATGTCATGTAAATATTGTTAGAAGCCCCTTTTTTTTTTTTTTTTTTTTTTTTTTACAAAAACTGCTTGTGGAGATTTTCATGACTGTATAGGTGTTTTCAGATGGAGGATTTGCCAAACCTGTGTTGTGAGGTGCACACATGATCTCTGCTTGGGAAAAGTGGCCAGTGCCACCGTGCAGTGCACAGCATTTGTATGTGACTCTGGTTTGGTGTGTGCTGTGTTGGTCACCACTTAAAGTAGAGCTAGTGTGCACAATTTGAATATATAAAAATTTGAAAATATGTTTAGCTAGTCTACTCCTCAGTACGTTTTGACTGTCAAGTGGAAAAAAGTAAAAGGAAATTAATGAAGGAAAGGAAAGCATCAAAAGATGAATTCATCTTTTGACTTTAAACTGGTAGGCAAATGGAAGAATTATCTTAACAGCTGACAACATCCTAGCTGGTAATATTAAAAAACTCCAATTTGAAATTTGGTCTTTCACAGAAATTTTCCCTGAGTTGGGAGGTCACCAAAACTGTGCTTATTTATTTTAAAGCAGCACAGGACAAACTTCTACCATCTTGGAAAACTTCTAAGCAGGCCCTTATCCTAAATCTTGCACCTTCATGTCTTAGAAAGTGAACTCTGGAGGACTGCTGGCAAGATGGCCAAATGGGAACAGATCCGGTACACAGCTCCCAGCGAGAGCAATGCAGAAGGCAGGTGATCTCCGCATTTCCAGCGAGGTACCTGGTTCAACTACTTGGGACTGGTTAGACAGGGGGTGCAGCCCAAGGAGGGATATCTGAAGCAGGGTGGGGTGTCACCTCATCCGGGAAGTGCAAGGGGCTGGGAACTCCCTCTTCTAGCCAAGGGAAGCCATTAGGGACTTTTCCCAGCACTCTGGCCCAGATACTGTGCTTTTCCCACAGTTTTCACAACCTGCAGGCCAGGAGACTCCCTCTGGTGCCTACAACACCAGTGCCCTGGGTTTCCAGCACAAAACTGGTGGCTGTTTGGGAAGACCTCAAGCTAGCTGTAGTTTTTTTTTTTTTTTCTTTTCATACCCTAGTGGTGCCTGGAATGTCAGCAAGACACAACTGTTCACTCCCCTGAAAAAGAGGGCTGAAGCCAGGGAGCCAAGTGAACTGGCTCGGCGGGTCCTACCCCAATGAAAACCAGCAAGCTAAGACCCACTGGCTTGAAATTCTCACAGCCAGCACAGCAGACTGAGCTACACCTGGGACTTTTGAGCTCATTGGGAGGAGGGGTGTCTGCCATTGCTGAGGCTTAAGTAGGTGGTTTTAAACCTCATCTGTGTAAACAGAGTTGCCGGGAAATTTACACAGCAACTTGGTGGAGCCCGCAGCAACTCAGCAAGGTGTCTGCAGGCAGACTGCATCACTAGACTCCTTCCTCGCTGGGCAGGGCATCTCTGTAAAAAGGCAAGAGCCTGTTTGGGACTTATAAAGCTCCCACCTTTCTGGGACAGAACACCTGGGAAAAGGGGTGGTTGTGGGTACAGCTTCAGAAGACTTAAACATCCCTGCCTGATACTCTGAAGGGAGAAGCGGATCTCCCAGTGCAGCCTTTGAACTCTGATAAGGTATAGACTGCCTCCTCAAGTGGCTCCCTGACCCCTGTGTATCCTGAGTGGGAGACACCTCCCAGCAGAGACTAACAGACACCTCATATAGGAGAGTTTTGGCTGGCATCTGGTGGGTACCCTTCTGGAATGAAGTGACCAGAGGAAGGGACAGGCAGCAACCTTTGCTGTTCTGCAGCCCATGCTGGTGATTCCCAGGCAAGCAGGGTCTGGAGTGGACCTCCAGCAAACTCCAGCAGACCTGCAGCAGATGGGCCCGACAGTAAGAAGGAAAACTAACAAGCAGAAAGAGTAGTTTCAACATCACCAGAAAGGACATCCACTTAGAGCCACATAAAAAGCTCACCAATATCAAAGACCAAAGGTAGATAAATCCATGAAGATGGACAAAACAAGTGCAAAAAGGCTGAAAATTCCAAAAAACAGAACACCTCTTCTCCTCCAAGGGATCACAACTCCTCACCAGCAAGGGAACAAAACTGGACGGAGAATGAATTTGACGAATTGACAGAAGCAGGTTTCAGAAGGTGGGTAATAACAAATTTCTCTGAGCTAAAGGAGCATGTTCTAACCCAATGCAAGGAAGCTAAGAAACTTGGAAAAAAGGTTAGACAAAATGCTAACTAGAATAATCAGTGTGGAGAAGAACATAACCTGATGGAGCTAAAAAACACAGCACAAGAACTTCATGATGCATATACAAGTTTCAATAGCCAAATCGATCAAGCAGAAGAAAGGATATCAGAGATTGAAAATCAACTCAATGAAATAAAGGGAGAAGGCAAGATTAGAGGAAAAAAAGTGAAAAGAAATGAACAAAGCCTCTAAGAAATATGGGATTATGTGAAAAGACCGAATCTATGTTTGATCAGTGTACCTAAAAGTGATGGTAAGAATGCAACCAAGTTGGAAAACACTCTTCAGGATGTTATTCAGGAGAACTTTCCCAACCTAGCAAGGCAGGCCAACATTCAAATTCAAGAAATACAGAGACCACCAAGAAGAGCAACCCCTACAAACAACTCTATGCACATAAACTAGTAAACCTGGAAGAAATGGATAAATTCCTGGACACTTGCCTCCTCCCAAGCCTAAACCAGGAAGAAGTGGAAACCCTGAATAGACCAATAACAAGGTCTGAAGTTGAGGCAGCAATTAAGAGCCTACCACCCAAAAAAAAGCCCAGGTCCAGACGGGTTCACAGCCGAATTCTACCAGACATATAAAGAGGAGCTGGTACCATTCCTTCTGAAACTATTCCAAATAATCCAAAAAGAGGGAATCCTTCCCAAATCATTTTATGAGCCCAACATCATCCTGATACCAAAACCTGGCAGAGACTCAACAAGAAAAGAAAACTTCAGGCCAATATCCATGATGAACATAGATGCAAAAATCTTCAATAAAATACTGGCAAGCTGACTGCAACAGCACGTCAAAAAGCTTATCCACCATGATCAAGTAGGATTCATCCCAGGGATGCAAGGCTGGTTCAACATACGCAAGTATATAAACGTAATTCACCACATAAACAGAACCAAAGACAAAAACCACATGATTATCTTAATTGATGCAGAGAAGGCCTTTGACAAAATTCAACAGCCCTTTATGCTAAAAACCCTCAATAAACTAGGTACTGACGGAACATATCTCAAAATAATAAAAGTTATTTATGACAAACCAACAGCCAATATCATACAGAATGGGCAAAAACTGGAAGCATTCCCTTTGAAATCTGGCACTAGCCAAGGATGCCCTCTCTCACCACTCCTATTCAATATAGTACTGGAAGTTCTAGCCAGAGCAGTCAGGCAAGAAAAAGAAATAAATAAAGGGTATTCAAATAGGAAAGGAGGAAGTTAAATTGTCTCTATTTGCAGATGACATGATTGTATATCTAGAAGACCCCATCGTCTCAGCTCAAAATCTCCTGAAAAGCAACTTCAGCAAAGTCTCAGAATACAAAATCAATGTGCAAAAATCACAAGCATTCCTATACACCAATAACAGACTTAAAGAGAGCCAAATCAAGAACAAACTGCCATTCACAATTGCCACAAAGAGAATAAAATACCTAGGAATACAACTAACAAGGAACGTAAAGGACCTCTTCAAGGAGAACTACAAACCACTGCTCAACGAAATCAGAGAGGACACAAACAGATGGAGAAACATTCCATGTTCATGGTTAGGAAGAATCAATATCATGAAAATGGCCATACTGCCCAAAGTAATTTACAGATTCAACGCTATTCCCATCAAGCTACCAATGACCTTGTTCACAGAACTGGAAAAAACCACCTTAAACTTCATATGGAACCAAAAGAGCCTACATGGCCAAGTCAATTCTAAGCAAAAAGAACAAAACGGGAAGCATCACACTACTGGACTTCAAACTATACTACAGGGCTACAGTAATCAAAACAGTATGGTACTGGTACCAAAAAAGAGATATAGACCAATGGAACAGAACAGAGGCCTCAGAGGCAACACAACATATCTACAACCATCCGATCTTTGACAAACTGGACAAAAACAAGCAATAGGGAAAGGATTCCCAGTTTAATAAATGGTGTTGGGAAAACTGGCTAGCCATGTGCAGAAAGCAGAAACAGGACACCTTCCTGACACCTTACATTAAAATTAACTCCAGATGGATGAAAGACTTAAACATAAGACCTAACACCATAAAAACCTTAGAAGAAAATCTAGGCAAAACCATTCAGGACATAGGCGTAGCCAAGGACTTCATGACCAAAACACCAAAAGCATTGGCAACAAAAGCCAAAATAGACAAATGGGACCTAATAAAACTCCACAGCTTCTGCATGGCGAAAGAAAGTCATTAGAGTAAATCAGCAACCAACAGAATGGGAAAAAATTTTTGCAGTTTACCAATCTGACAAAGGGCTGATATCCAGAATTTAGAAAGAGCTAAAACAACAGATTTACAATAAAAAAACAAGCCCATTCAAAAGTTGGCAAAGGATATGAACAGACACGTTACAAAAGAAGACATACATGAGGCCAACAAACATGAAAAAATGCTCATCACTGGTCATTAGAGAAATGCAAATCAAAACTACATTGAGATACTACCTCACGCCAGTTAGAATGGTGATCATTAAAAAATCTGGAGACAACAGATGCTGGAGAGGATGTGGAGAAATAGGAACACTATTACACTGTTGGTGGGAGTGTAAATCAGTTCAACCATCGTGGAAGACAGTGTGGCGATTCCTCAAGGACCTAGAAATAGAAATTCCATTTGACCCAGCAATCCCATTACTGGGTATATTTCCAAAGGATTATAAATCGTTCTACTCTAAGGACACATGCACACAAATGTTCACTGCAGCACAGTTTACAATAGCAAAGACCTGGAACCAACCCAAATGTCCATCGATGATAGACTGGACAGGGAAAATGTGGCACATATACACCATAGAATATTATGCAGCCATCAAAAATGATGAGTTTGTGTCCTCTGTAGGGACATGGATGAACCTGGAAACCATCATTCTCAGCACACACACAAGAGCAGAAAATCAAACACCACATGTTCTCACTCATAGGCAGGTGTTGAACAATGAGAACACATGGGCACAGGGAGGGGAGCACTACACACTGGGGTCTGTTGGTGAGAAATAGGGGAGGGACAGCGGGGGTGGGGAGTTGGGGAGAGATAGCATGGGGAGAAATGCCAGATATAGGTGATGGGGAGGAAGGCAGCAAATCACACTGCCACGTGTGTACCTATGCAACAATCTTGCATGTTCTTCACATGTACCCCAAAACCTAAAATGCAATAAAAAAAAAGAAATTAAAAAAAAAAAGCAACCCCAAGACACATAATCATCAAATTCACCAGGGTTGAAATGAAGGAAAAAATGCTAAGGGTAGCCAGAAAGAAAGGTCAGGTTACCCACAAAGGGAAGCCCATCAGACTCATAGCAAATCTCTCAGCAGAAATCCTACAAGCCAGAATACAGTAGAGGCCAATATTCAACATCCATAAAGAAAATATTTTCAACCCAGAATTTCATATCTGACCAAACTATGCTTCATAAATGAAGGAGAAATAAAATCCTTTACAGACAAGCAACTGCTGAGAGATTTTTGTCACCACCAGGCCTGCCTTAAAAGAGCTCCTGAAGAAATCACTAAACATGGAAAGGAACAACCGGTACTAGCCACTGCAAAAACATACCAAATTGTAGACCATCAACACTAAGAAGAAAAATGCATCAATGGGCAAAACAATTAGCCAGCATCATAATCGCAAGATCAAATTCACACATAACAATATTAACCATAAATGTAAATGGGCTAAATGCCCCAACCAAAAGACACAGATTGGCAAATTGGGTAAAGGGTCAAGCCCCTTGGTGTGCTGTATTCAGGAGACTCATCTCATGAGCAAAGACACATATGAGCTCAAAATAAAAGGATGGAAGAAGACTTACCAAGCAAGTGGAAAGCAAAGAAAAAGAAGGGGTCACAATCCTAGTCTCTAATAAAACAAACTTTAACAAAGATCAAAAGACACAAAGAAGAGCATTATGTAATGGTAAAGGGATCAATGCAACAAAAAGATCTAATCATCTTTAAAGACCTACAAAGAGTCTTAGATTCCCACACAATAATAGTGGGAGACTTTAACACCTCATTGTCAATACTAGACAGATCATCAAGACAGAAAATTAACAAGGATATCCAGGACTTTAACTCAGATCTGGACCAAGTGGACCTAATCAACATCTACAGAACTCTCTAACCCAAATCCAGAGAATATACATTCTTTTCAGCACCACATTGCACTTATTCTACAATTGACCACATAATTGGAAGTTGAACACTCCTCAACAAATGCAAAAGAATGGAAATCATAACAGTCTCTCAGACCACAGTGCAATCATATTAGAACTCAGGATTAAGAAACTCATTCAAAACTGCACCACCACATGGAAACTGAAAAACCTGCTCCTGAATGACTACTGGAGAAATAATGAAATGAAGGCAGAAATAAAGATGTTCATTGAAACCAGTGAGAACTAAGACACAACGTACCAGAATCTCTGGGACACACTTAAAGTGGTGTATAGAGGGAAATTTATAGCACTAAATGCCCACATGAGAAACTGGGAAAGATCTAAAATTGACACCCTAACAACACAATTAAAAGAACTAGAGGAGCAAGATAAATGCAGAAGACAAGAAATAACTAAGATCAGAGCAGAACCGAAGGAGATAGACACAAAGAACTCTTCTTCCAAAAAAAAAAAAAAATCAGTGAACCCAGGGGCTGGTTTTTTTTTTGGAAAAGATCAACAAAATAGATAGGCTGCCCTAGCCAGACTAATAAAGAAAAAAAGAGAAAAATCGAATAGATGCAATAAAAAATGATAAAGGGGATATCACCACCAATCCCACAGAAATACAAACTACCATCAGAGAATACTATAAACACCTCTACGCAAATAAACCAGAAAATCTAAAAGAAATGGGTAAATTCCTGGACACTTACACCCTCCCAAGAGTAAACAAGGAAGAAGCTGAATCCCTGAATAGACTAGTAACAAGGTCTGAAATTGAGGCAGCAATTAACAGCCTACCAACCAAAAAAAAGTCTAGGACCAGACGGATTCATACCGAATTCTACCAGAGGTACAAAGATGAGCTGATACTATTCCTTCTGAAACTATTCCAAGCAATAGAAAAAGAGGGAGTCCTCCGTAACTCATTTTATGAGGCCAACATCATCCTGATACCAAAACCTGGCAGAGATACAACAAAAACGGAAAATTTCAGGCTAATATCCATGACGAACATTGATGCGAGAATCCTCAATAAAATACTGGCAAACTGAATTGAACAGCACGTTGAAAAGCTTATCCATCATGAGCAAGTGGGCTTCATCTCTAGGATGTAAGACTGGTTCAACATATGCAAATCAATAAACGTAATCCATCACATAAACGGAACCAAAGACAAAAACCACATGATTTTCTCAACAGAGGCAGAGAAGGCCTTTTACAAAATTCAACAGCTCTTCATGCTAAAAACTCTCAATAAACTGGTATTGATGGACTGTATCTCAAAATAAAAGCTATTTATGACAAACCCACAACCAGTAGCATGCCAAATGGGCAAAAACTAGAAGCATTCTCTTTGAAAACTGGCACAAGACAAGAATGCCCTCTCTCACAACTCCTATTCAACAAAGTATTTGAAGTTCCGGCCAGGGCAATCAGGCAAGAAAAATAAAGTCTATTCAATCCGGAAAAGAGGAAGTCAAATTCTATTTGCAGGTGACATGATTGTATAATTAGAAGACCCCTTTGTCTCAGCCTAAAATCTTCTTTGGCTGATAAGCAACCTCAGCAAAGTCTCAGGATACAAAATCAGTGTGCAGAAATCACAAGCATTCCTATACACCAGTAACAGCAAACAGCCAAATCATGAGTTAACTCCCATTCAAGATTGCTACAAAGAGAATAAAATACCTAGGAATACAACTGACAAGGGATGTGAAGGACCTCTTCAAGGAGAACTACAAACTACTGCTCAAGGAATAAGAGAGGACACAAAAAGATGGAAAAACATTCCATGCTCATGGCTAGGAAGAATCAATATCATGAAAATGGCCATACTGCCCAATGTAATCTATAGATTCAATGCCATCCCTGTCAAGCTACCATTGACTTTCTTCACAGAATTGGAAACAAACACCTTAAATTTCATATGGAGCCAAAAAAGAGGCAACATAGCCCAGACAATCCTAAGGAGAAAAGAAAAGAAAAAAGCTGGAGGCATCACGCAACCTGACTTAAAACTATACTACAAGGCTACAGTAATCAACACAGCATGGTACTGGTACCAAAACGGAGATATAGACCAATGGAAAGGCACAGAGGCCTCAGAAATAATGCCATACATCTACAGCCATCTGATCTTTGACAAACCTGACAAAAACAAGCAAGGGGGAAAGAATTCCCCATTTAGTAAATGGTGTTGGGAAAACTGACTAGCCATATAAAGAAAGCTGAAACTGGACCCCTTCCTTACATATTACACAAAAATTAACCCCAGGTGGATTAACGATTTAAACATGAGACCTAACACATAAAAACCCTAGAAGAAAATCTAGACAATACCATGCAGAACACAGGCATGAGCAAGGACTTTATCACTAAAACACCAAAAGCAATGACAACAAAGCCAAAATAGACAAATGGTATTTAATTAAACTAAAGAGCTTCTGCACAGCAAAAGAAGCTATCATTAGAGTGAACCGGCAACCAACAGAATGGGAAAAATTTTTTGCAGTTTACACATCTGACAAAGGGCTAATATCCAGAATCTATAAAGAACTTAATTAAATTTACAAGAAAAAAACCACCCCATCAAAAAGTGGGCAAAGCATATGAACAGTTCTCAAAAGAAGACATTTATGCAACCAAGAAACATGAAAAGCAGCTCATCATCACTGGTCATTAGAGAAATACAAGTCAAAACCACATTGAGATACCATCTCACGCCAGTTAGAATGGTGATTATTAAAAAATCAGGAGACAACAGATGCCGAAGAGGATGTGGAGAAATAGGAATGCTTTTACACTGTTTGCGGGAGTGTAAATTAGTTCAACCACTGTGGAAGACAATGTGGCGATTCCTCAAGGAGCTAGAACTAGAAATACCATTTGACCCAGCAATCCCATTACTCAGTGTATACACAAAGGATTATAAATCATTCTGTTATACAGACACATGCATGTGTTTGTTTACTGCAGCACTGTTCACAACAGGAAAGACTTGGAACCCACCCAAATATCCATCAGTGATAGACTGGATAGAGAAAATGTGGCACATATACACCATGGAATACTATGCAGCCATAAACAAGGCTAAGTGCACATCCTTTGCAGGTACATGGATAAAGCTGGAAACCATCATTCTCAGCAAACTGACGCAAGAACAGAAAACCAAACACCGCATGTTCTCATAAGTGGGAGTTGAACAGTGAGAACACACGGACACAGAGAGGGGAACACCACACACTGGGGCCTGTCGGGGGGTGGGGGTGGGGGTGGGGGGGTCAGGTACGGATAGCAGGGGGTGGAGGGCTATGGGAGGGATAGCATTAGGAGAAATACGTAATTTAAATTATGGAGTGATGGATGCAGCAAACCACGATGGCACATGTATATTTATGTAACAAACCTGCACATTCTTCACATGTACCTCAGAACTTAAAAGTATAATAAAAAAGTGAAATCTGAACTAAATTCAAAGATGAAACATCATAGTAATCTCATACTGAATATAAACATCCATTTCAATGTTTACTCCAGACCGAACACAATGAAAGTGCTTGTGAAAATTACAAGTCTGCCACCTCTAATTCTTATATAATTAAGTTTATGTACACTTATGAAATAACCTGACATTTATTTTGTTGGTATGTTCTAATAAACACACATTCTCAAGACAGCAAAAGATAAACCCCAGTCCAGAGCATTCTGTCTGCTTGAAGCCAATTAAGACACTGCCTCTAGTGCCTTGAGATTCTGGGCTGCAGAAATGGTTGCTGGGAAACATATATGCCTTGGCAGAGCCAGAAACCACTGACTATAGCATGTCTTCAAATAAGATCTACTGTGAACAGGGCTTCACCCCATTTCATTTGGGCTCCATTCCATGAAGATATAAGTTAGTAGAAATTACAAAGGAAAATACAAAACATTCCATACATAATTTATTGTACATAACTTGGTGTTTTCTTTTGCTGAATCATACAAATTCAAATGGGGATTCCTGAATAAATCTTTTAATTTACCTTTGGCAGAAACAACAGATGCCAAAACAATTACTAGCATCTCATTTATTTGTTGCTTAAAAAAAATTCTGTAGCATATTTTTCAAAAACAATAGTCTTAAACATGTGCTTTAACAGCTAACTGGTAATGATCCGATTAATATAGCTTATTTAAGAGAACTATTAAAGGACAGACTATACATGTATTTTTAAAAAAACAATTTTTGGTCATATGAATGATTCATGTTCAGATTTCAAAAATAGGAAAGATCCTAAAGTGCATCATTTTATTTATAATCTCACTCCTTGAAATTATAGCAATCTGCAATGTAAACAGTAGAGCAAAGAATTCCAAACTATATTTTTATGTACATTTAAACCTGTAGGATTATGTATCTTCTTTGTGTGTGGATTAAAACCAGGGCACTTCCAGCACATAGCTCAAGCTTCCATATGATTAAGAGCAAACGTAAAGGCATTCTTTTTTCCCCCCATCCTTGACTTAACTTTCAGCTGACAGAGGGGAGCTGCTACCTCACTTCAGCCTGGAAAATGTTGCTGTAAATCCCACTGGACCAGCCAGTTTCTCACAACCCTTATTAAAAACAAACCTGGTCAGTATAGTTTTACATCCCCTTCCTTTTCCTTAAAACAAACTTGTGCCCTTCAAGAAGGCAACTTTCAAAACATATAGGAGGGTGTCTGTGCCGTGTTCATCCCGTAACACCTGTCTTCAAAGGTATAGCTCCTGAAGCACTTTCTCTGATCAGCCATGGTGGGCCAGCAGATCTCTGGGCTCGGCCTGGTGAAGCGCAAAGGTGGACCCAGAACCCACTGTCCTCAGCGCAGGTGCAGGAGTGAAAAAATAACAAATCATAAAGTGACGTCAAGCACACTGAAGAGATGGATGATTTGGTGTTTTACATTCCCTGGTCCCTCCAAGATGTCTAATATAGACAGCTTTGTGACATAGTCTTTGACAAAATTATAATTGGCCACATGGCATGACTTTTTTTTTAATACATGATCTTGAAAATAGTGCGATTTAGATTCTGCCTTGGGCTGAGCTCTGCGGGCTACACATTTACCTGTCAGTTTGGGGATTTCAGTGCAGATTTTCTTTTTTTAAAAAAAATAAAACTCTGTTAAGTACTCAGGAGGCTGAGAACACAGGCCCTTTCTCTCCCTTGATCCTTTATACGCAGGCTAGGACTTAAGCAACCCCTTTATGTTTGGCTAGTGCCACAACAAAACAGCCCAGACAGGTTGCCATAAGAATGCTGGCCTGGCTTAGTGTCTGATGATAAAATCTGAGACTGCTAAGTGCAGTCAGTGTTCAGGAAAGAATCTCCAGGCTCTTCCCCCATCACCTGGTTTTAAAGTCAGCATTCATACAGCTGCTGCCACAGTCTGTCCTCTGAAGATGACTCAGTCCTACACAGCAACCAAGATTCCTTGTCAGCTGAGGAAGTCCTAAAGAAACATCCTGAAGATGATGACTGCACTGCCACTGTGGGCAGATGCAGCTTCCATCTACCTGAGGGCTGAAGGGGAAATCCTTTCACACACGTGAGGAAGGCGCAGCTCTGTGGAAAGGTGACTAGAATGGCCGCGGCAGCAAATAGGGCTCCAATGCACGTTCAAACTCAGCTGGGTCTGAGGAGAGCACGGCCCTCCACAGCAAGCTCGCTCTACAGAATAAAGTCCTGAGCTTGTTTTTAATCACAGTTAGACAGAGAATGGTCTCATGTTTCTCAGTTATCCAGGGAAGAACAGTGTATATTCTCTGTAGATGAGTGTCATCTAATGTAGTGTTTCATATCTGCTAGTGTTAGGAAATCTCCACTATTTGGGTGTGTGTATGTGTGTGTGCACGCGCACGCACACACACAGAAGTCTTGACTTTCCAATTACAAAATGCCTAAGTCAGGTCACACTGTCTTCTTCCAGCCAGTTTCTAAGGGAGGCAATGGAAATAGGAGCTGATGCCAATGATCAAGAGGCAGAAGGGCCGCATGCTTTGCAGGGCCAGCTCCAAGGCTGCCTTCCAGAACTGCTCTTTCCCAGGGAACTCTCACTGCAGCCGCAGCGCCCCCAGTGCTCGGGCGGGGGTTGCCCTTCACATGGACTTGGAATCAGTGTCTCTCTTGCTGATGAGCACCTCCAGGAGCCTCAGTTTTGCCTTTATGTGCTTGTATTCACTGTATTCTTCAGCCATAGGAGTGCGGTCTTCCTTCTGGACATTTCTAATGGAAATAAAGGAAAAGTGGTCTGAGGGTCATTTTCTGTCTCTGTGTGATAGTATTCCTTGGGCAAATTATCATTGTGTAGAAATTTTGCAGTTTATCAACGTGTAGAATCAGTGTTGCCAAGCGGCCCTTGGTCTCAAGACTGGAGCTGGATTTAGACAAGTAATGAAAATGTTTCCCCCAGAGGACATCATGTGACTGAGTTTTTATATAGTTAATCAGGCAACTTGTATGACAAGAAGGCTAAGAAATGCAGAAATTCTCTCTCTGCTAAGTATGAATTCACATTGAGTTCTCATACATCAAAATCCTTTATTCATACTTAGTGTTATCTCATTCTTATATATTTCATCTTGTGAACTTTTAAATTTTTAATTAGCAACTGGTCCACCCACAACTTACAGGGTTTTCTTTTTTTTTTTTTTTTTTTTTTTCCAAAAACAGATAGTTAATACTCCTACTTATGATAAAACAGTCTTACAATTCAATAGCTGGATCACATAATACTATTATAAGCCTTTATTAATTTACTGAGTAATTTTACATGCACAGTATTTATATGCACAAATATTTGAGAGCTTATAGGTCAAGCCCCGTGCTAAGTACTTTGTATCCATTATCTAATACAACCCTTACAACACCTTGATGAGATGGAGCCATTATCTGCACACTAAACATGATGAAACCAGCACAGGAAATCAGATAACTCACCTGCTCTTCGCCACCACGCAGTGCGCTGCTGCTTTGCGCTTTATGGGAAATTGCACATGGCAAACATCCAAACACAGGCTTCCGGCCTTTATTATTAAAGGGCAAATGTGGGCAAGGAGGCTAGCATGGGGCTTAATTTGTTCAATGAACTAAAAACCGATCTATTCATATTCTGCCTTGTTCTAGGAAAGGATTCTTGTGACTTCTTAGCAGAGGGCAGGGTAAAGAACAGGTACTCAGGAATCAGAGCATCTGGCACACAGGCCCCGCTGCACTCTGAGGGCCATCACTCTCCTCAGACACGAATTCCTGGAACCAGAGCTCATCTCCTAAGTCCCTCATGGTTCTGTTTCGTGATGATTTATGTCCACCATTGACATTTTCTTAAAACCTGGGCTTACATAATTCTATGTAGTTCCTCATGTATAAGATAATGTACATAATGTGACTCGAATAATATAAAAAAGGATAAACCAAAAATACGCTTAGAGGAAAGATACCCATCAAACCATTAATTCTGATTTGTCTTTGGCTATTATTTTGGGAATTACTACTTATATTTGCTTACCTATATTTTCTAAATACTCCTGCAATGGGTGGGAAATGAAAAGCAAATATTTAGGTATAAAAATGTATGAGACATAACCAAATCACAGATCTAAAAGTAAATTCATACAATAATTGTTAAACTGAAATACAATATATTTTAAATGACAAATTTTTTTTGAGACAGAGTTTCACTCCTGTTGCCCAGGCTCACTGCAACCCCCACCTCCCAGGTTCAAGTGATTCTCCTGCCTCAGCCTCCTGAGTAGCTGGGATTACAGGCATGCACCACCATGCCCGGCTAATTGTTGTATTTTTAGTAGAGACAGGGTTTCTTCATGTTGGTCAGGCTGGTCTCGAACTCCTGAACTCAGGTGATCCGCCCGCCTTGGCCTTCTAAAGTGCTGGGATTACAAGCGTGAGCCACCCCGCCCAGCCAACGATGTTAATTTTTATGGTGCTTTTATTTCTCCAAACTTTCAAGAAGTATAAAAGAGGACTCGAGAAACCATACTTACACAGCTTCAGTAATCTGGGTTAAAACCAATCTAAAAATGATAAAACCTAACTCCAGTGTAAGAGATGCAAAACTATCCCTGGTCCTCTCCTTGGGCTCCTGCTGCAACTTTCGGTAAGACGTTTTGTGTGCTGTTGCTCGTAAACATAAAAGGCTACTTCTTAACATAACATTATATGAGGATGATTAAATTATGCCTTGAAACACACTGGTGAGAGAGAGCCCATCAACCAGGTAGATGTACTGCTTTTCATATATATTTTTCATTTAAACTTAGCAACTATCACCTTCATTTTTGAAATGAGTTTGAAAATCAGTAATACTTAGGTCCTTCTTTCCTTGTTTCTCTAGTTCCTTTTATTCAGAGATGAGATCTCGCTCTGTTGCCTAGGGTAGAGTGCAGTGGTGGATCATAGCTCCCTGCAGCCTCAAACTCTTGGGTTCAAGCAATCCTCCTGCCTTAGCCTGCCAAGTAGCTAGAGCTACAGGTGTGCCACCACAGCCACTTGGCTAAACTCTAGTTTCTTAAGAAAAAAGCCTTGGTGCCACCAGCTGGAAACACAGTTTCCTGCTGTTATTGCCGAAGAATCTGATGGGACCGGTTCATTTCATAAATTTCAGCTGAATCTGCATTAGTCTTTGGATAATTGCCATTATCCAAAGAGCATTTCTTCTGGGAGGTCCACACAAATCCCATCATCTCATAGTCAATCTCTAAGGGTCCCTGGGCACAAACCCAAGGACCAGGTTACAGGGAGGATGCTGAAGAGTCCCCCCTTTGAAGGCATTCCACAGATCTGACAGGAAAACAAGAGGGATGGGTGTGTGTGGTAAGGTGGTGGGGAAGGGAGGGCCAGGGAAGACAGGCAGTACCTTCCATTCTGTCTGAAAAAGTTGTCTTCAAAATCCCGAAGTTTCTTTCGAATCCTTTTCTTTTCTTCTCTCATTTTCTGGAGGTGTTCCAGTAGTTCAGGTCTAAGAGAGAAGCAGCATTTCAAGGAAATTAAGTGAAATTTGAGTTGTTGTAAATGTAATGAATGTGCAACTCAAGAGGAGCTGTGCAGAAAGGAGAGGCAAGTAAGTGCAGACACAGCTGGGACACTGAAGGGGTGTGGAAGTGGATGTTTTCCATTTCCTGAAAGCCAAACATGCTGGCACCGGATCCAGCTTCTGGGGTTCCTGCTACTTAGGAATTCCTAGGCCTTTTAAAATCCCACGGCACTTTGTCATATTTTTCTTTGAAAGAAAGAGATGACATCTGTGCCCAGTGTATATTAAGTGATGGGCTGTGATGTACAGAACCACACAATACCATTTATAGAGAGAACTTCCGGTTGCTTAAGCAAGGCTCAAAAGTTCCCTCAAATAACATGGGCTGAAGCACATGCAAATTTTTTAAGAATCACTGTTTTATGCAGATACACTCCAGGTAGTCACTTGTATTTTATCAGCTACTTTACATAGATACACAGGCTAAAATAATATTTAAGAAAGCTATTTTTAACAAAACATCTCACCACCACCACCAAAATGACATACATTGAAGCAGCATGGAGATTTGAAAGCCCTGTGTCCTGGCTGCATTTTGATGGTATTTTATCATCCATTGGGGAAATAAACCCATCAGCATCATCTTCGAATTGGTCCAGAAGGCATCGTGCACTGAAATCTGTTTTCAGAGTGACCATGAAGTCTGGCTTCGAGTTGCTGTCATCTTCTGACCCTTCCTCTTCTTCCTGAAGATACACAGCAACCCCCATAAAAATCTGGTCACTTTTTGGAGCATACTTTCATTACAAGTATCATTTAACAATCATTTAATTATCCAGACACCATATAGTTTCTTCTGTATTTATATTTAGCAACATGTACATTACAGATATATTATTTAGTATATACACAATAACACAAACAACACAGCCACTCAATACAGAAAACAGACTGGAAAACTATTTTAAAATGAGTGTATAGCGTGATTAATATATTGTCAGGATGGGGATAGGAAGGAACAACCATCATAATTTATAACCTAAATGAGATGAACCAAAAGGATCCAAAAATTTCCAGCTCTGACAGCACAAAATTCATCACCAGTAACCAGTGCTTTAAAGGATTCTACTACTTGGGTATCTCAGAATTTTTTAAAAATCAGAGTCTGAACATTTTCTGAAATCAAACAACACAAGCTTTCTATTAAAGAATTGAGATTAGAAAATATTTTAGGGTTGCTTAATGCACAAAATTTTAGAGAATTTTTAAGAAGACTGAAACATTATATTCTCATGATTGAAATAAGAAAACTGAAGCTTTTCCAAGGAAATTCCAAGGGCCACATTTGTATTTTTCAGCATACAAGATTCTAAGAAAAGTATGATATTCTCTGTACTGATAATGCAAATAGAATAATAAAGCCAAATCAGCATTCTTAGTGCCAATTTAAGTCTATGTAAGCCTGAGGAAGAAATAATATCAGAGTCTGAAAGATTTCCAAAGAAGTGATTTACTACCGAAAGGCAGTCAGACCACAGAGAATATCTTACTATCTTAAAAAATTAAAAAATTGGTTCAGAATACAGCTACATGAACAGCAGTATGAATAGCATCAATGATTACAGGTAAACCAAATGGCTTCCATGCCAGTACAGGAAAGAAAATCTTAGGAGGCAGCAGCAGTTCCCGCTGGAGGGCAAAGTACAAGTTTGCAAATGGCTCGTGGTGAATTTTGGTATGCTTAATAATGGTGCCTCTGAAGAGAAATAATGTGAATAAACAAGCAACCAAACAAAGCAAAATAAACAAGGACTATCATATAACTGATCAAAGCATCGCTATGAAAATAAAATTGGCAAAAGCGAGGTGGCTTTTCCAGGTTGTCTCAGCTGTGACTTCAGATCTTGAGTCTCTTTGCTTGGTCCATAGAAGTGAATGCCTCAGTAATACATTTTTCATTTAAAATTGTTAAAATATTTTTAAAATTACAAAGCAAAATTGACTTTTTAAATAAATAATTTGTTTCTTTTTGTTTTAGTAAGAGTAATAACGTTTCCCATCGACATAGTTTGGATAAAAATAGAGATAACGTATGTCAGGTACCTCACAGGCACACCTGGGACACCCACTGTGGCCATCACTTTTCCGCTCCCCCTCCTCCTGCCCCTCCCCTGGATAAGGAAGACAGTTCAGAAGCACCCTCAGGTAACTCAGTGGAGGCAGGAGTTGGGGCCTGCTTACTGCTGTCCCCAGAGCTTGGCAAATGCTTGCAGATGGCCAATAAACGGCTGTTAAGCAGTCTGGTAATTCGGTATGAAAAGAGAACTACAAAAAACTACTATTAGAAGAGCATAAACACCTGGCCAGCTAACAAAGTACAAATAAGAACTTAACGACCTTTAATGAAATCAGGTGTCTAGGTCTTGTCAATTATATCCCAAAGTTCTGAGAGAACTTAAAAATGTGAAAGAGTGCCTTGCACACAGTGAGCACTCAATATTTTTTGAGATAAATGTAACAAAATTACTCTCAGTAGCCTTTGAAAATCATGAGGAAAAACAGCAAAATAGATTTTCAAGTAAGACAATCATTTTAAGTGTTGTGGATACTGGGTAGACTCTAGAAGGAATTGATACATAGATAATGTATAAGCAATTGGGAAATCAGTGGTCAACTGATGAGTCTGGTTCCTTAAAAATGAGTCATGAAGGTGAACCATTTTTCCTTTTTTGATAGATTGACGTAGTATTTGGATTTCAACGTACAACCAGGTAAGCAGACCCTACAAAAGGAAAGCTGGCTGCCCGTTTTCTGCTGAGTAATGACTGAAGGGTAGTCTCTAGAAGCCCCTTTACCTGAATCTGCTTACTCAGTATCTGAGTCACTTGGACAAAGAAAAAGCATATTCTCAAAACGTATAGATAATACGAAGTGAGTAGGGATACCTGATATGTTGGAATATAAAAGCTAGATTTAGTCTATCTCATACAGCGGAAATAGAAGTATAAGATGCAACAAATTGGAAAAATTCAAGGTCCTATAATTAGCTTAGGAAAAAGAAAAGCTGGACACACCAGTGGCAGTGCACAAGTATACAGCAAAGTATGAGTCAACTATGTGCCAGGGCCATGAGCAGTGGTTCTCAATGTGGGTGATATGTCCTCTCAGGGATATCCGGCAACGTCTGGAAACACTTTTGGCTGTCACAACTGGGGAAGGGGTGGTGGCAGCATACTACTGGCCTCTAGCGAGGAGGCCAGGGACTCTGGTAAGCATCTCCCAAAGCACAGCGCAGTGCTGCACAACAGTTACCCGTCCCCAAATGTCAGCAGTGCCGAGGCTGAGATACCGTATCCTCAGAAAGGCCAAAATGAATTCCCAATACCTTTGCATAGGCAAGAAACTGGAGGCATGAAAGGGCCTCAGCCATCTGATCAATATAAGGACTAGTCTTTGGTCTACTGTCCTAGTAAAACCATATCCAGATTAATGTCCAGTCCTGGACATCAGGTTTTTTTTTTTTTTTTTTGAGACGGAGTCTTGCTCTGTCGCCAGGCTGGAGTGCAGTGGCGCAATCTCGACTCACTGCAACTTCTGCCTCCTGGGTTCAAGCGATTCTTCCGCCTCAGCCTCCCGAGTAGCTGGGACCACAGGTGCGTGCCACCACGCCTGGCTAATTCTTTTGTATTTTTAGTAGTGACGGGGTTTCATTGTGTTGGCCAGGATGTTCTCGATCTCTTGACCTCGTGATCTGTCCGCCTTGGCCTCCCAAAGTGCTGGGATTACAGGCGTGGGCCACTGCGCCCGGCCTGGGCATCAGTTTTAACAGCAACACTGATAAACCAGTGTGTGTGTGTGCACAGCAGAACTAGAAGACCACTGAAAGATCTGGAACCCACATCACACAAGGAAGAGTAGGAGGAACTTGGATAACAGATTTTCACAGGGTATGCATAAGAGTGGGCAGGGTAGGTGACTGTAAATTCAGGGAAGAATCAGTATGTTTATTTCAAGTTGCTCCAGAGGGGAAACTAAGCCTAGGGTATAGAATGTAATAAATTGATAATAACTATGAATATTATAATTTCAACTGTTTTCATTAACGTTTTGTATTTATCAAACCTATACATTTAAAATTACATAATATGTAGTTAACAAAGATAATTATAAAACCAATAGTATAAGTTGTTAGTTATTAATATTCATGTAGTGAGGGACCTAACTCCTCCCATTGCTGTAGACTTTTTGAGCTTGAGGATGGAATCTCTCTGCAGGGACAAATTTTAGTGGGGATTCTTATGTGGGCTAGGAGAACTGACTAGATGATCTCTAGGTTTCTTTAGGTTGGAAAATCTAGGCCTTTAGAACTTGAGCTAGCTCTAGTTCTTATACAGCTAGTTCCCTCTCAAAAGCATTTAAAACCAGGGAAGAGTTTTGGAGAAACCACTTAGATACAGTCTTATCTTCACACCCACCAAATTCTAAATTGCATCAGAATTGCCAAGAATGAGTACACTCCAGATACATTCCAATAGGCCTGGCCAACAGGAACAAAATGAACCAAAAGACAGCACTGTTTACAAAAGAAAGGTAGTCATTGCAAAATTATCTTAAATTTTGACCATGATGTGGGCCAGGAGATAAACCACAGCCAAAATATACTTGTGGGAAAAAAAACAAAAAAAACCAAATCAAGCTAAAGGATAAGAATTGGGATAAATATCCTTTTTTAAAAAGGGGATCATTAGGTTATCTTCAGTTCATCTAGTGAGACCATTATTAACTGTTTATATTTTGGATGTGTTCAAGAACACATTTTCATCTAGTAACGGTTCTACTGCATGCTGCTAAAAGAAACATGCTAATTTTCATGCACACAATTACCCAAATTTCTCCAATTACTGTGGTTTAATTCTTGGGTGACATTATCAGCCAGACAAAATTTGTCTTCATTAACATCAAAGCGTATTGTTAAGAAAATAGCTGTAATTTTTAAAGACACAATATAGTATATTGGTCCAAATTTCTAGTGCCGTGTTTAGAGCAATTTCATAAAACAAGTTATGGCTAATATAGTGAGCACAGTCATTGCCTGACACTGTAAAATTAGGCACATGACGTATTAAGATCCGTAAAAGGCAAGAAAAGGAATACATAGAAGAAGACTTTACAGCTTATGGTGCCTTACCTCGGACAAGAAAATGGAGAAGTTCTCAATTGGTTTCCCTCAGTAGACAAGAGGCCCCTTTATACTGAAATAATCATTCCTAACTACAGAACATAAGTGACCACCCCAGGCTTGGAACTGTCACAGAAATATGATCAGTGAAACTCTTAAAACTCACTTCTGCTCCAGGCTTAACTCTTGCTTTGGAGTTAAATGACTGTTAGAAGAGCAATCACTGATTTTTAAAAAATGATTGCCTTTGATTTTCCATCTCTAGAGTTCTGTAAAAGGCAGTCCAGTTTGCTCAGTTGTCTAGAAATAAAAACATAAAAGAGGCCGTTCCTAGTACAGGCCAATCAGGGTCCCACAGAGACACGCTGATGTGTGGGCACAGATTACATCTCCCATTCTAGCAAAAGCAGCCACTGATGACAAGGATTATCCATAATTATTACTGGAAAAAAAATCAGGACATATGTTCTGGAGGCTATCAGTCATTCACAGCATCTCATTCATAGATTAAGAGCAGATTTTAAAATTAGTCCTGGGGACTAAATGTGCTGTGGGAAAGTCAAGAAGGAAGAGCGGGAAATATTGTACCAGCAGATCTGTCAAAGACGAAGATATCTGTAGAATTACAATTTTTCACTGTTACATATGTTTATATATATTTCCTTTGTTAATTTTGGTTTTTCTATAAACAGTATATGAGTTTTTTTAAAGTTAGTCTACTGAACTAATTTAAGATTTTGGAATACAGAAAATCCATTCCCCAAATACAGAAAACAAAACCAAACGGAAAGCACTTGGGCAACCAAACCAAAAAAATAATAATCCCTGAAAGCAAAGTAAAAACAATGCAAACAACAACAATACAAACAAAAGAGAGGGGGAAATAAAATGAAACTAAAGAAATCAGCTAAATGAAACTAGAGAAATCAGCACTCTTTAGAGGGACTGTTCAAAGCTGGTTATATGCAGCTACTGATTTTTAGGGAGTGCTACAAGAAGCCATCACCAAAAGACCCGATCACACCCCCTTTCCATTCACCGGAGGGAGGGGAGGAGGGAACTGGTGCGGATTTAGCAATGGGTTAGCAGCTGGGGTCTTCACCTTTATCTCCTTGAAGAAGGAAGCAGTTTCACCCTCGATAATTGGCTGCAGCAAAGGGCTTCTCCGCTTGCTGGAGGGGGAACCCTGTGACAGGTGTTAACAAGTAGGTTACATTCCGAACCCCTTTCCCGTTCCCTCCAGCTCTCGGCCTCCTTTGACCTCACCAGTATTTATTAACTTTTAACTCTGCATTCTTACCCCTCCCTGCCAAACACTCCCAGGAAAACCTGAAACAACAAAAGTTCTTTTTTCCAAGTTGCTGCTTCCCTTCAGCGCCCACACACATAAATCAAGGAGGACGCAGTACAGCAAGAACAGCACAGGAGTATATCTGCAGACACTCAGAAGAAACCCGAGGAGAAACACCTGCCTCCCACTGCTGCCCCCACCAATCACAGGAACCACAAGAACAATTCGGCTGTAGTCAGCTAAAGAAAATCACGTAAGCTCAGAAAGCAATACAAAGGGGAGCTGACTTTTCTGTTGCATGTTCATCCTACTTTGGAGCACTAAGGGTTCCTGCCTGGAGAATGAAAACAACTCCTTAGATCTAATTGTTTTATTTGTCAGTTTAGGCATTTCCTCCAGAATACACTAAAGAGTGGCTTTCTACATATATACCTGGTCTGAGATCTCTGGACCCTCCTTTCTTCATTAAATTAAATACATTGTTAAAAGAAACAGACAATATCCTAGGCCTAGAAATAAGAAGGCATTTAAGGTTGGGCCAGACAGGAGCAGCAGCTAAAATGCGTATGTATTGCAATGGCAACAGCACAGTGAGTTTGTGTCTGCTTATTAAAGAGCCTAAAGCCAGCAGAGGAGATGACAGTGCTGAAACAGAGGCAAATGTTTCCCCAAGAGATGGACAGGGGATGAACACCCCACTCATAAGCTGGGGGTGGAAACGCTGAGGCTGGGATGAGGGATGGGAGCAGGTGGCTGGGCCCTGAAGACTTTCCTGTCGAAGGCAAGCTGCTGCTCTCTACTCTTGACAAAATCAAAATCCAGGAGCCAAAAGCAGCAAAGTCCAGGGATGGTGGCCACTGACAGCACCTTCAGTTAGTAGCCTCCTTTCGTATACCTTGCCATATCCTCCAAAAAGAAGGGCCTCTTTTCTCAGGGGATTTTTGCTCTGGACATAATTCCCAAGGGAGTTATCCCTCTGTTGGATGGGAGGGACTATGAACAGAGGGCCTGGGGACCAGAGCGGCACTCTTTTTACTGAAGAGGCCTCCAAGACCTGTCCCTTTGGTGCTCTGTCTCTGGCCGAGCATGTAGGATGGAGGTACGTGCCTTTTGGGCAAAGCATGTCCTCCAAAAGGAAAAAATAAATCCCATCAGTTTCAGATTGCCCATTTTTGATAAATGTAGCCTCAGGGGTCTTTGATAAAGTCTTCATTCCTCAAGCTTGTGGGTCATGGATAGTAAAGGCTGATTCAGCAATGAAAGCCTATTCTTTAATGAGAAAGCAGGTTAGGGCCCTATTCATAAATCCAGGGCCCAGTCAAGCAGAAAGGTGTTGTACCAGCCACAGGAAGGTATTCTACTCACAATGATGGGTATGGTGTTGGCTCGGGACAGGATCTGTTTGACCAGCCGGTACCTGTCATATAGTGGCTTCATCACCTGACGTTCGCTCTTTGTTACCTGAAAGGCAGGAATGAGAGTGGTGAGAAGCCTGCTGCTGGGAGTCACTACCAGCTGTCTAAGCATGCTCTGGGCCTTTGTAGTTCCAGAGAAATTGCAGATGATGCAACCCTCACAACATTTATTTAAACTGATGATATTACTTATTCAATAAACATTTAGATTACCTACTTCAACTGCAGACCAGTGGACGTCACTCTATTGTAGTATTCCTTTTTCTAAATCAAAACTAGGATCATTCTTAGGTTCCTGCTTAAAACTCCTCAAGGTTCAGAGTTCCTAGATGACCATATTCTGGGTCCAGGGAAAGTGAAAGTATATATTTGCTATAAGATATATCATGTAGGTCAGGATTACAGGCGGCTCATGCCTGTAATCCCAGCATTTTGGAAGGCTGAGGTGGGCAGATCACCTGATGTCAGGAGTTCGAGACCAGCCTGGCCAACATGGTGAACCCCATCTCTATTTAAATAAATAAATAAATAAATAAGCCGGGCATGGTGGCAGGCACCTATAGTCCCAGCTATGCAGGAGACTGAGGTGGAAAATCACTTGAACCCAGGAGGCAGAGGCTGCAGTCAGCTGAGATTGCACCACTGCACTCCACAGCCTGCGCAACAGAGCGAGACTGTCAAGGAAAAAAAAAAAAAGACGTATCATGTAGTTCTGTAATGTGTTTGTCTTTCTCTTCTATGAAATTATGTTTCTAAGAACAAGATTCTGGCAAACAGTGGGTATTCAAGGAAGATTTGATGAAAAATACATGAACTGATTCATCTGTGTATCCTTAAAATCTGGCACAAGGCTAAAAATATTTAAAGGACTGATTCTCCAGGCAGTGGGGAGGACTCATACCCAGCTCCCTGGTATAGTATTGGAAGCTCCTCATGCTCTATCTGCTGTTTCTCCTCCTCATCATCCCTCAAGCTCCAGAAATAAACCACGTTTTCTCAACACTTTTGTCTAATTCCCTCTGCCCTGCAATGGCTTCTTCCTCTTTGCTCTTTTGTTTGGCGAATTCCAGATCAACAGCAACTTCCCTGTACAGCCTTCTTCCAACATCCCCCATTCTAGGAGACTCACGCATTCTCTCCTTTGTCGACACTGCCCCTTGCATACCCTGTAATTTCATAAATGCTTTTATGCTCTACTATAGCAATATGTTGACAAGTGTCTCCTTGAGACTGTAGCCCATTGAGAGCAGGAGTTTTTTTTTTTTTTTTTTTTTTTTTTTTTGTATCCCTAGTAACTATTTCAGTGCCTGACATCATGGAAATATTCCATAAATATCAGCCAAATGAGTGAATAAATATTTCAAACATACATAGGTGTGCCTGATTCACAGATGCAGTCCCACTGGTTACTTAAATGGGGGAATGCCAGAATAGGATGAAGTATCTTTGCTTCAAGTTAGCTGTTTGTCTCCTGCATTCTCTTACTATTTCACACATAATAAGGCAAGAGTTTTAGAGGTAAGGAAGGCAAGTAGCATTAGCTTTGACCATTTCTCTTATGGATTATTTTGACCCTTTAGCTTCAAAGATACTGGATTATGCAGAAATGGATTGCCCTTTGTTGCCCTTTATATTTGCCTTTCTCAAAGTGATAAACAGAAAGTGTGCTTTGGGTAAACAAGAATGATCGCCTTTTATTTCTTGCTCTTCTGTTATCAGATAACTAAAGGGCAACTGGTATTTTCCTGCTTCTACTATCTACTATGAGGAGTTTTATAATTTTATAAACAATGACTTTCGAAACTAGAAGGAACTCAAATTATTTTACAGAAAAAGACTAAGGCTCAAACCACAGGTGTCTCTACTACACACCTACCACACAGCTGCAGTGAAAAGACTGTGTCCAGTGCTGGCAAGGCTGTTGAACATCTGGAACTCTCCTTTACTGCTGGTAAGGGTGGAACACTTCGGAAAACTATTTGGCAGTACCTATTAAAGCTGAACTTACGATCCATCAATTCCACTCTTAAGTTTATGCCAAACAAAGGTGGCCTTAAGTTCATCAAAAGGCATCTGTAAGAATGTTCATGGCGGCACCATAATCCCAAACTGGAAACTGCCCATATGCCCATCAATGGTAGAATAAACAAAGTATGCTCCCCAAATTGAATACTACCCAACAATGAGAATGAGTGAACCACAGCTATATGCAACATTGTAGATTAATCTCACAAGGATAAAGCCGAGTCAGTTACGCCAGACACAAAACATACTGTCAGATTCCACTTATATAAAGGTCAAAAATAAGAAAAATCCACAGAGTTGGATGATAGTGGTTTTCCTCTGTGGAACCTTGAGTCATAGTACTGACCGGAAGGGAACATGAGTGAGGATTTTGGAGGATCGGCAACATTTCGTTTTTTGTTCTGGGTGCTGGTTACCTGGGTGTGTTTACTTTGTGAAATTTCATCAAGACATATGTTTATAATTTGGGCTCTTTTCTGTATTTATGTTATACGGGTTAAGCATCCCAAATCTGAAAATCCAAAATCTGAAACTCTTTGAGCACTGACATGATGCCAAAAGGAAATGTTCACTGGAACATTTTGAATTTCGGATTTTTGGATTTGAGATGCTCAATCAGTATAATGCACATATTCCACAATCTGAAAAAATCCAAAATCCGAAACACTTCTGGTCTCAAGCATTTTATATAAGGGATACTCAACCTGTACTTCAACAACAGTACAACGATAGCCACAAATGAGTATGAGGAACAGAAATGAAATGACTTGTACAATGTCATATGTAAAATGACGGAATTTAGGACTGGGACACATGAAATAATTTTTTAAACACAAGATATATAATATGCTGCAGATGAGACTAAGGTACCTCCTAATGTCCGCACATGACACACGCTGAAATATAGCGTGCAAGATAAACAACAGACAGTTGAGCAACCAAAGGCATATAAAAATAGAAAAGGAAGCAGCCAGCATCCCGACTGCGAACTAGCATCCATTACTAGTTATTTGGCAGCAACGTCTTTGGACTATAGCAGAAGACTTAGCAGGTAAAACCAATGAGCTATGACAAATTTGACAGCAACCAAATCTCCTTTCTTATTCTTTGTTCAAAAACAAAGTTTTCTACTTAGAGTAGATGAGGAAGATCACTGGCTTGCTTAATTCTTTGGCTCATGACATTGATATCCAAATTTTCTACAAATTGCTCATGTTTTCAATTAGTGACCCCCAGGAACTAATCACCTGTGAGTGATCTGATAAAATCCAGTTTTTTGACTATGGAGAGTTAAAACTCATGATTCCACCAAACCACTGTCATTTAACAGAAGCACCAAAAATACCGAAGATCTTTAAATCTGAGGTGAGAGAAAGGTAAGAATAACTACTTTTTATCATAATCATTTTCATGATATATATTTAAAGCCAAAGGCTCAGTAATACTAAAAATTACTGCAACTTTTACCCATCATAATAGTGATCAGTGCTTGGTTTGTGAGTAGGGTCAAAATTTAATCAATAGCATATGAACAAAGCAGGACCTTGGTTGAACTGGCAAAAAAGAGCTATTAAATTGACCACGGGAATACTTTTTTCAACTTGACATCTCTATTCTTCATTCATCAGCTGCTCAGGGATTCTGCTGCCCACCAAGAACAGGGCTCTGAATGAGCTACTGACCTTCTCTTCACCTCAGTTTCCTGAATGGTAAACTGCAGAATTCAAATTAGAAAATCTGTATGCTTCCTAATTGCTTGGAAATGACTTTGAGCCAGGCATGTAGTATATGATCTCTTCAAAATACTTTGACTCCTCTGGCTTCAAAACTTTATTTAAAGTGATACTGCTGAATGGTATTCCAATATGTGGAACTAGGGTTATCAGTAAGATGTATTTTTGCACATAAGTCAAAAAACATAAATATCTAGATGTGAAGATCTAAAGGGAGAAGGCAGCACTTCCACTCTGTCTTTCCTTAGGATTCAAATAAATTGTCATTTACTGGTCTCTTACTACCCTACTTGGTTGCCCCGTAAGTTTCAGGTATTTCAAAACATAAAGGGAATGCTAGCCAATAATTACCCATTAATTAATGGCAAGTTTTGAACAGAAATCATAAAGTCCTGATCAGGCAGCTGGTCTGTCTTTATCTTTTGTGATGGTTTTGGTCTTAGCCTCAAATAAAACTTCCCTACTGAAACATCAGTTTAGTTGCTGTTACCTGGACAAACCCACAAAGCTGAAAGGTAAAATGGACATATTTACTCTGAAGATAAAGAAAAATTAGAACTATGAAATATTAAGAGCTAGAAAAGCCTTATTATTTAGGTGATAAAATTAAGTACCAGAGAGGGTAATAATTTGCTCAAGGCCACAGAGCTGGGTCAAGGGCAGGTTTATGGACTTTCAGTCCAGTTTTCTTTCACAAATAAGAAGTAGGATCTTTAACTGTGATGATTTTTGGACTTGGGATGCTCAATCAATAGCACATCAATACAGCATAATCAATATAGCTCACTCCAAACAGAAGAGATATAGCATTATTCTCTAATAGGATTTGGCCACGTTGTCTTCATAATAGAGAATTCTGCCTTCTAAGCTGACAATTTGCCTATATTGAATGTACAAAAATCTATGCTTATGAACAGTGTCATAGAAGCACAATTTGTGAAAAATTATGTCACAGACAAGAAACTATGCAGCCTCAAACTCTCCTTAGTAAAACAAGAAGTAGTCTGAGTTTGTATGTGATGGGTATACCTCTGAATCATCAAACTGCTAGAAGGAGAAGACAAAATGAGACGGATTCTTGTAACTGTTGCATTCTCGGCCCATTAATTTGAAAAATGTCAACTCTCTCTTCATTATCAGGTAATCATAGAAGGCTGTCTGTATAAAGATCAGAAAATCCAAAACAGCAGTTAACCAAAGGAGAGTATTTATAAATGCCTTCAGAATTTGCATTTAAATTTGAACATGGTTATGTTTAGGGTCCTCAAGGTCTAAAAATACAAGAGTAAAATACTCCATTGAGGAAGAACCAGAAGCTCTGATCAGGTAACCCATTCTCTCCTATGTTTATCATCAAATAGTGGATACACAGACAGTAATACAGTGACACGTAGTTATTTATGGCACTTCTGTGACACGGTCTTTTGATGAAGAAGATTCTTAAGCATTGAAAAGGACCCACTTTAATAATAATAGGAAATTATATGCCTGTATATAAATGAGTGTTTTTGTTTTTACATATGTGCCTGTCTGCAGAGTGCCCTGATACAGCAAACAGCTTTGCTAAAAATGTACAGAAGCAGCTGATTACAGTTTTGGCCTGAGATTTTGGTAGTTAGTGCCCTTTCAAATCAGTATCTGTAGACTCAGCAAAAATCCATTGAGTTCTAAGCACCTGCTTTTCTAAAAAATTGGGGATTGGAGCAACAGTTTAACTCTGGAAGTACATGTACTTTTCTTCTAAGAAGGGTGTTATCCACATGGTATTTACTCTCCGGGGTCCATGGTAACACCATAAATCTAAGAAGTAAAAGTTTATTCTTTGATTGTTTTTGAACTGGCCAGATATCAAATGAACTCTGCTTTTTCTGAGGAGGTTGGAGCATCGTGTTCCAAAGAGAGAGAGGCAGAGAGTTTGGCCCTAGACCAGAAATGAATGACACTCAAATTTCCTAGAGCATTTGTTCCTCACCCTATGAGATGCTAGAATCCAGACCCACCTGAAAGAGTGATGAAAGACCAGAGAATAATAAGGCAGGGCCAAGAATAATAGTTCATATTCTTAATGATAAGAGGGCTATGAAGTGCACATTCTTTCACCTGATTTAATCATTTAATCAGAAGGAGGCCACAGAAAGCAGAGCATGTAATTGTAACAGAAGTGAAAATTATCATTGACTGTGCAAACCCAGTAAAAGCCACCCCACCCCACTTACTCAGTGGCAGACATCATACAAATAAATATATACAGATAAACGTCTGTGTGTGTTCTGTAACATCATTTAATCTCCTTGGTAATCTATAACAGATATCTATTATATAGACAAGCACCAAGGCTCAGAGAGGTTACCTAAGCAGCCTGATGTCACAGGTCTAATCTCAGTGAGGCTGAGTTTTGAATCTTGTCTGCTGATTCTACCACTCACAGTGTCTGTGTGCTGACCCAGTCCAGGCTGAATGAGAGAATCTGTTCCCAACTCAGAGTAACAAATACTACAGCACACAAACTACTCAGCTGGCAGCAAAGTGAAGTCTATGTAGAACACAGCTGTGAGCTCTTAAGGGACTTGGGCAAGGAAGTCCTCAAAGGTGTCTATCGATGTCATAACTCAAATCCACAGAAAGAAAAGAAGAAATGTTAAAGAAGGAAAACACACCTTTTTCATGAGGCTTCCCAGATGGCTACACAGAGATGGATACTTTAGGGTTCTGAGCCTATTGTGGAAAAGAAGCGTCTCTCTGATAAAAGAGGTTAAGAGGTTCACTTCTCCCTCTACATGTTTTGAATATTCCAGTGGAGAAGGAGAAAGTTTCACAATGTATCTGAGCTTTAGAGCATTTACTATTTGGTTCAATGCCTTTTAAAAAATCCCAAACAAAGCTTGGCTGAAACATGAACATGATCCCAGAGTGTCAGTATTTTTCCATTGCAGGGACAGGCCAGCAGAAGAAATCATCATCAGAGCCAGCATTTTTTTTTTTTTTTTACATTTAAACCTGATAAATTTAGAACAAAAATGCCACCAAGGAGGCATTCTACAGATAGTTATTGGGCCCATGTCATGTGTCAGGTCTTGTGTTAAGACACTGAGAACTGGGGTCACCACTAGGTGCACGAAGCCCAGAATCTTTACCTCCCTCCCCCAACACCTTAGAGTCTAGTGAATTATCCTGGAACAGTCTATATTTAAAAGAGCATATTGTAGATGAAAAAGACTATCATTATATAGTCATGGCCAAGACTGAAAAACAGATCTATACATTTTGGCTATATAAAAATAATCAGTGAACCTAAACTTCATGCTTCCTTATACTTGCTTTTAATAATTTGTTTTGTTAGGTCCCTGACAACATTACGAAAAAAAGGTTTAAGAGTGACTGACAAGAAGGATGTCTGATGAAAAGTTCTTCAAGGAAGACAGCAGAACCCTATCGTGCTACTATCTCCCCCACAGCTAACAACAAACATTCAATCAATGCTTGCTGAATAGCAAGCCACCTCAAAGGCTTCCCGTTGTTAAGTGAAGGCAAAGCCATATTTTGGATTCCTCACACTTTTAGTTCTGAATGGCAGCTGGAACTTCTTTATAGACACACACTAGTTGCACTGCATTGCAGAGAGATTGAATTTTAGGGCAGATCATTGTAGATCATTCATAAAATGAAAGACACCTTTCATTTTATGGATGAGAAAGCCTACAGTCAGTCACAGCTTATGGGGGAGACCTAGGGACAGGGAAATCTTCTAACTCCAGGACTCTTTATGCCCTGTACTCTGTCCTCATGACCCCTGGCCTCTCCACCATTCTTTCCTTTGAAGCAGTACATAAATGACTAAATTTAGTTGCAAGCAAATTTCTTCACTAAGCCCAATTAAGTTCAGCATGTACTAGCTAGAAACTTTCTCATCAGCTAAGCCTTTAGAAAGCTTAGTTATGGTGTACATATATAGCAACCTCCTTTATAAATCCTAAAAGTAAAGAAAGCAAACATTAGGGAACCCCATTTGCAAGGTACTGAACATAGAAAATCCACTTCTAAAGCCAGATAATTGACCCCAATCAGAAAATCCACCACATCACATACCGGCCGTCCATGAATGCTTTCATAATATAACAGAGCCTTCTGCAGAGCCACTTTCTCATTAGCAATCTGGTCTTTGGTCATATCCTGTATAAACACAGGGATAGAGGATAGAGAATTGAAAGAGAAGGGAAACGTTTGTGAACATTCCAACTTCTTTACTTAAATTACTAAAGCAAGGCTAAAAAGAATCCTCATTTAACAGCTCTCCCTAGCTCTAGCCAAAGTTCATTTAGAAATGGGCTATTCCTGAGCTCTTGGGAAAAACATGGCCAGCACAGCAGAACCATCATCAGCCACTTGGGTCTCCCACATGGCAGCAAAGGTGCGGTGAACACTGAGGTAAGCAGGGCTGTGAGGCACATGGGGCTTAGCTTAATGGCCCAAGCAATGACGAAGGTTCTAGGTTACATGGTCCCAAAGGTTTGTCTCTAATCCTTCTACGTCAGAGAGTCACCAAACCAGTTATTAACCTAAACAAGTTCATTCTGTGATCTATACAACAGAGTTTTGTTTTCAATCTGTAGTCAAAAACCAAAGCACCCACAGTTAATGTACTCTGCCATTGTTTCATTGGCTTCTCTAGACACTTAAGAGCCTGGAAGGCTTAACAAGGCATCATCTTCCCACTGGGATTCACGTGGCATGCCCTGGGTCTCTACCGCAGTGCCTGCAATGGCTCAGGGCTTATGACTTCACAGAATCACCGCACCTTTATGTCCTCAGGACGGCTGCTTTCCGCTCGCTTCTCCTGGAGCTTCCTCTGAATAGATTCCAGTGTGGCTTCAACACTGGGCTTTATTGCTTTATCTGCCAGCTCTTGCTTCTTCTCATCTTCTTTCTCAAGTTGGGAACCAAAACTCTTGGGGAGTGTGTTGCTGCGCTGCCGCATCCTGGGAGTTAGGTCCTCTTCAGATATCTTTAGTTTTGACTCTAGTTGAGAAGATTTGGGGGAGAGATATATGAGACCTGATGTCTGCCCAACATAAACTGTTTTTCTGTGGTATCAATAATTTACTGGTTCTGTCTTTGTTCAGAGAGTATCTAGTTACAGTATCAGTAGAAATCCTTGAGTTCTTATGTAAAACCTGAGATAACGGTAACGTCTTCTTTGATTACGAGGAATGTTTTTCTAACACTAATTGCTGAGAATGCTTTAGCCACACCAGCCTGTATGATGTTCTCAGAATGTGACATCCTTCTTTCTTCAGTGTTTAAAGGTATTTACTGATGTAATGACCAACCACTGGCCAACCTTTTCTGTATGACTTACATACCTCATTTTGAAATTCGTCTAACTTTGTATCCTATTTAGTTGTTTACATGACTCTATCTCTGAAAAGATGGGAATATCTTTGAGGGACGGGGGCCAAACCCTTTGCAGATTCATCTCTGTGTCCATCTACCACCATGGCAAATGGAGACTTGGATTAAACAGGTGTTTGAGAGAGGTTGACTTGAAACCATCATCCTTCTATTAGTGATCTAGGGAAATGAAGAAACGCTGCAGAATTCGCCTCTTAGCTGATCTGGCTGCCCTATGACTGAGATCATGTGAAGACCTGAGGAAGTGGTCACTCTGAGTAGCTGAGAGTGCTGGGAAGCATCTTTAAGGACCCTGGAATGCCTGAGCAGTGGCACTCAGCAGGAGTGGAGGTGAGAGATTCTGCACCTGGCTTGTTGTACAGAAGCCACAACTCCAGAACTTTACCCACCTTTAAGTTGTCTCCGAAATTTGGCAAGGTCATTTGTCCATTTCAGAACCTCTGGATTGGCTGCTTTGTCACTGTGGGAAGGCTGAAAAAAGGAAGTCTAGAGTAAATGCTTTGGAACTGGAGCAAGAAAAAGAAGAAACGTTTGATGATCATTTTTGTTTTAAATAGGAAGGGAAAGTTCAGCCCCATCAGTATAAAAAATTAACCATGACCAATCAGAGCAAATGTCACAAGTGTAATTCCATTATCCTTTTTCACATTTGGTTATTTTGATGCTTTCAAAGAATTCTTCAGAGGCAAAATGCTGCATCTTTATCCTCAGGGACTTCTGTAAAGGTCCATGATCCCCTTGCCATTATTTGTAGGGTTCAACCTATAAGGCTAACAGGGTAGAAAACGGAGGAGTATATGATGTTTTGTCCTGCAACGATTATGAAAAATACCTTCCTGCCACTCTTGTGGGAAATGCTGGGTACAGAGCTGAAAGCAGAATGAGTTCAGTACTAAAGAGATTTCAGAACATGTTGTTAAATTAAATTTTAGTCAAACAAAAGATTTCATTCCACAATTTCTATGGTTCCTGCTTACTGATTAATTTAAAAATGTAGACTTACGCTTTCATTGTTTTTGTAAGAATACGGCTGTGCAGGAAAAATGCTGATACATGAAGACTGGGGTTTATCAGGGTGTGCTATCCAGGGTTTACTGCCTTTCTGTTGTAAGATTTCCTAGAAGTCTCTCTCAACCGTTCGTCATTTCTTTGAGTTGTTGAAACCCTGGCATGTCCAGGGAGAGGAGGAGGTGAAAAGAACAGTGTGAGGGGACACTTACTCTGTACTTCTTCTCTTCTTCGAATCTATCTTCAAACTTCCGGATCTTCTTTTTAAGGCTCTGAATCCTTCGTGTGAGCTGGGCGGGTGTCAGGTCCTCCTGCTCATCATCGTAGGACCCCAGAGAGGAGCTTCGCCGCCTGGGAAGAGTGCGACTTAGGTCAATTTTCCTGGGAGCAGTTACTGCTTGCTGAGAGGGACCCTGGGGAAGTGGAACACTATGTGGCATGTGGGTGTGTGTCGGGGGGCGGTCACGAGGCAGAGGCAAAACAACCTCTTCCTCTTGAATAGAAGACAGCTGACTGATCCATTTGAGCTCAGTATGTCCCGCCTAGTAAGTACATCTAGCCTTTTCTCGCTCACATTTACAATTAACAAGGCTAGGACTGAATGTCAGCCTTTCCTGTGAGCCTAACGGAGTTGAATTGGAGAGCACTTTGGAAAGGGGAGGCTAAGGAAATTCAATATGTAATGTTGCAGTTGGGCCACAGCTCAAATGGGACACTACAACATGGCCCGTGTACTAGGATGGAGAATTTCAAATATGTTCCTCCGTAGGCTCATGACTTAATTTAAAAAAATCATCTGCCATCAGCGCCATTCCTATCTTTTCTGATGCTGTGGGGTGATGCATTTGCCTCTCAGCAATACAGAGAAACATACCTCATGAAAGAATGGGCGTTTGGCGGGGAAGGAGGCACTTCTGTGTCATCCAGGTATTGCCTGCTCTGCCCGTAAGCATAGAATCGAGGAGAGAGCATGGGGTCGCTGTCTTCATCCAGCAGCTGACGGATCAGGCGCCCGGCCTGCGGCGAGAGGTGGGCTTCATCAGAGTCACTGTTCTCCCGCTGCCAGGAGGAGAATGCAGGGATAGGCTCTGCAAAATGACAGTGGTAAAAGGTCAGGGTTGTTCTTCAAAGCGCAAGTGTTTCCCAGGCTTCCCAGATGCTTTAGGAAGCTGCCCATTGAATCATTTTTCATTTTACAGCTAAGGTCCAGACGAAGGACCCAACTGAACACCAGTATTTCTGACAGCCATCAACTACCTCTCATCTCGATTCTCACTTGTTTTCCAAAGAGAATTTGCTAGGGCTACCCTGAGGAGCAGCCTTAAAGCGGGGATGCCCAGTAGATCAGTGATAAAAACTCTTCCACTTGATGGCATCATTGAAAAGAAAATGTGTTGGCAGGGAAGATATTTGGCATCGCAGCTGTACATCCTTTACTGAAACAACTGAGGAGGAAAGCCAAGGAACCACATCAATCTTGAGAGAGCCTATGTATTTAGGAGTTGATAACTTCCCTTGATGTCATCCAGTAAGCTGTTTTGTGTGCTTCTGCTTAGTGTGTTGGGATTAGCACATTTAAGATGCATGCTTTGTGCTTGAAATTTCAGAAGCTGCTCAAGACTCCAGTTAGAGTGAGATGCATTCGTAAATTAGCCAACAGAGGAAAAAGAACACCTTACAAAGGGCAAATCTGGACAAATCAGTTTAGGTAATCTGCTACAAAAAAGTAACATACTCAGCACAAAATCTTGATCTGTCATTTAGGGAGGGAAGAGAGCAACTGTTTCTTTCTATTTACTTCAAGACTTACCTCAATGGGTTCCTTTCCTCATAACAACAACAAAAAAATCCCATCTAAAAGATTTAAAAAGTAGACGTCAGAAGATATAACGTATTTCGTTTGTAATGTTTGCATTATAAAATTAGTTATGCTTTAAGTTACTTGTAGATTACTGTGTTTACACAAGGCTGGAATTCAGCCATGATCTTACTTTCCAGGGTTCCTGGACTTTGAATCACAGAACAGCTGCTCCTCTATCATACTATAAAATGTGCAAAAACTATCTTAAATAATGTTTTTTAAGGCTTCTATTTAAAAAGATATTAAAACCATAGACTTACAGCTGGGTGTGACTTCATACCTCAACTAATCTTGTGATTTCTCCATCCCAGCCGCACATTAAAGTCACACAGGGAAGCATAAATGACTACCAGCACGCAGGTCCTCACATCATCCAAGTCAACAATATTTAGGTGAGGGCCCAGATACGTGCCCCTCACACAAACATGAGTTTAAAAGCTGTTCAAGTGATGCTCTTGTGCAGCCAGGCTTGAGGACGATTGATCCAACCCAGCAGATGACAGACAAGAAAACAGAAACCCCAAGAGTTGGGACTAGAAGCTAAGTCTCCTGACTTCCAGAGCAGTGCTTCAACTTAGAATGTGCCAAGTGCTTCTATAAGAGTGGCAACTTTCTGAAATTTCTGTAGACCTCACAGAATAATAGGGAAGATAAGCACATTCATTAAAAAAATTAACCTTATATGAAATGAGGTCCATAGGTTGTCAAAATGTAAAGAGAACTAGGTTATCTGGAAACGCAGACAAAAATACAAATATTTTGAGAAATGAAAGCAGTGTTAAAGACTGATTCTTATCTGTTGAGGCTCAAGAAGTGGCAGAGAACATGCTGGTAGATGTGTGTGGCTAAAGCCAGAGACGAACAGGAGGTGTTTCATCATTTGTACTAACACTATTGGTCTGCTCCTCCTAAGTGGTAGGTCAGAACCACCAACATGGAAGACTAAAAAATGGACTGAGAGGTGATGTAAGGGGGTGTGTGTGGAAAGCAACCCCTAGAAAAAATAAAACATGTCAGCTGCAGAAAACGGAACTATTAAACTGCCATGATATTTCATAAGGCAGAAGTAATTCTGCAAGGACTAAAACCCAGGAGAGGGAAAGGGTTAAGATGGCTTGAACAGTAATGCAGCAGGCAGTAAGCTCACCGCAGAGTGGCAAAGGGGCAAAGCGACTGGGGGCAGGGCACGAAGCTTTTCTCGGGACAGAGGGCTTTGGCAAAGCAAAGTCTGGTGTTGATATTGGCATATGGGTGTGCTGCTTAGTTTGACATTTCTACTCAGAAAAACTGAGTTTAAAAGGTGTTACTTTACATCCTGAAGCTCTTTAATGTGTTAGAATCTAGAAGAATATCTCCTTAAAAATGTTACAACTACTCTGTAAGTTTTCAACCAGGTGGTCTCTGTGTATAAAAATTTTTACTTTACGAGTGTGTGATAAGATAAACTGTGATCTTGACTTCACTATGAAATGCTAATCACGGAACTATTCAATAATCATGCTTTGATGCTCTGTGGCTAATGACAGGGCCGTCCATCGGTTTTCTTGTTTGTTAACACAGCTTTATTTTGTGGCTTTATTCTTGACTGATCGCTTTACTGACCGGGAGACCAAGTGTGTCCTTTTCCTAGTGTCTCCAGTAGTGTACGGGAAATACACAGCTGGAGCAATTCCAGCTTACCAGTGATATTTTCTCCCAAAGCATATACTTAGGGTGAATGAATTCACTTATTTTAAAATAAGAAATGTAAGACTATATGAATTTCAACCTTAATAAATAGGTACGTTTCATCATTAGTCTGCATGTAGAACAGAAGTGAAAGGTTTCTCATGTGTGTAACACAAAAGGTTTACATGATTCTCTTCTCTCTTTTCTGTTAGTCTGTCATCTTATAATTTAAGGCTTCTACTCAAAATGACATGTAATACACAGTTCAATATAACTAAGGAATCTATAAAACTGTTCCCCATTTTAGTTCGAAATGATCTAAAAGCATTATCTACAAGGCTCCTGTTTTGATAGTTGGCACTCAACTACAACAACAATGAAGAACTAAGTAAGAGCAGTGTGACAGACAATAGGTCCGATTGCACTGCCTGCCTAGAGAGCCGGTTTTGAGGATGTATCACGGACCATTCCCAGTTGCTACTTTGGGAAATATTTCATATTTTAACTAGTAACTCTAGAGCAGGGAAAGAGACAGGGATGCTGCAAGAGAATTATTCAAAAAGAAAAACAGGAGGGGTGTGAGGCTTCACACTGGACTGTCTTGCTAAACCAACACATACAATAAATGCATTCTCAAATGTAGACCAAAATTCCTTGTGCACAGTTAGTTTTGCTTTGAGTCATGTGTCTTGCCACAATGAACTCTGGACATAAGTATGACATGCCTCTCTATTAAAAATTAATCCACCCCGGTCAGTTGACATCGCAGCGGGTTGGAAATAACAGATAAAAGCTGCACATTTGCTACTGAAGTAATAAAAAAAAAAAAAGGCCCTGGGGGAGTTCCAATTCAGACACTATAGTACACATGGATATAACAGAAATTTTCTGTAGAAACGGGGAACATATCTCTGAATAATGCTAACGTGGTCACTGGGACATAGCTACTCTCTGCTTCGCTGGCTGGATCCACTTACCATGCAAAAGAAAACCGGTTATTGAGATGATTTATTTCTCAGAAATCTGCACAGAATTAAGGGGGCTGATGTTTTCCACATTTCCTTTCCAACTATATTATTTAGAGCCATTACTCCTCGGCAAGATGTAACCATCTTTCTGCTCAGCTGAGCTAGGAGGTAACTGCACATCCCAGACATAGAAAGACATAAACCTCATGGTGGAGGCTCTTTACTGGAAGAATTTTATAAAATATTCTTTAGTGTTCCAAAATTTAACTTTAGAACAATGGTAGTCCTATCAAATTGTTCAACTAGTCTTGTAAACTATCAGAAAGAACCAGAGTGGTCAGCTTTATCAATCACAAATTTAATCTTTACATTTCATGTATCTGCTTTGTCCCTGTTTGCAAAGTTAATAAGCAAGCTATTTAAATCATTAATAAATATGTGGAACAGGATAGGGCTGAGGACTTTTTACCTGATGAGAACACCCCCATTTGAGTTGACTTTGATCCATTTATCTGCACATTTAGGAACAGTTGCTTAATCAGTTACTAATTCACTACCCTACCTGTCTTCTCTCCCACTTCTCTGACAAGGTTGTCACTAAGGTCCTATCAAAGGCTCTGCTGAGGTCTTTTCAAATGCACCATTTCCCTAATCTAGAGTCTAGTACTAATATTATCAAAGAAAGAAAGGAGGTTGGTGTGACATGGTTAATCCTTAGTAAATCTGTAGAGGACCTAGTAATCACTGATTCCTCTTGTGTTCAGAGCTGTCCATGGCCATTTGGTAAACTGCGCTCTGGTTTCAAAGAAGGCAAACTTAGTCTGATTCTTCTTGAAACTATACTTGGAAACATTTATGGAAGATAAAACTAAGACTCACATAGTGCCTACTATGTGCCCATACTGTGCTGAACACTTAGCATATTTTAGCTCATTTAATCCTTGCAATAAACTTATCAAGTAGATACTATTGTATCTACTCTTCATTATTAGGTACTGTTACCATCCTGTTTAAAGATGGGGAAATTAAGGCGAAAACCTAGACATGTTTACTAACTTGCTGCAAAGCTGGTAAGCAGCAGAGCCAGGGTCCGAACCCAGGGAATCTGGCTCTTAACCACTTTGATCTATTTCCTGTAAGGATATAAAACTGGCATTGTTTAGAAAGAGGCATCAGGTAGAAGTGAGGAGACTTTTGCCTTGAACCGTCGTTTTGCTTCTTTTGCCTCAATTGTCTTATCTGTATAGTAGGAAGGCTCAAGTGGAAGATCTTTTAAGATCTCTTGCTTTTCTACGATACTTTTAAAGAATTTCCTTTCCAGTTATTTCCAATAAGTAGTAACTAATGAGCTGGATATATGAAATACCCTATGCCGTTTTTAAAATACCACCCATCTCTTGATTTTTTTGAAGTGGGGTATTGCCAGGCTGCCCAGGCTGTTTTTGAGCTCCTGGGCTCAAATGATCCTCTTGCTTCAGCCCCTAAGTAGCTGGGACTACAGGCGAATACCACCATGCCCAGCTTAAAATGCCCCTTTAAGTTTAATTCCATCAGGACCTACTGAATAGGGTAGCTGAGTGCTTAAGCTCCAGTACTCACACAAGGAGTATCCTCAAATCAACATAATTGACTGCTTGGGAACATTCTAATTATGCAACTCTGAAGAACTTTAAAACACAGAGTACTACATAAAATTTGTGTATTCATTTAACTCTGGAGATTGAAAATTCTAGTAATAGTCATGTGGATAAATCAAATAATGTGTCCTAAAACAGCTATATATATTTTAAAAACATAGTTTGCTTAGTATTTGCCAATAAGCATGAACAGACTTGGATCCTACATTCACTTTGCGAAGGTCCCATTCTACATAGCTTATGGAATCTATTTAGTAGTTTTATTTCCCTTTTTGTTTCCTTGTTACTGAGCCTCAGAAACCAATGAACATCATTTCTGTGTGGACGGGCAGTACTTAGTGAACAGCCTGCTGGTGCTCGCCTCTGCAGTAAGTATTGTCTGACATTTTACAATTCTATATTAATGAGAATATGAGCTATGGTATGGGGATGGGAAGGAGCAATCACAGCGAAAAAGAGGGGATGGTAGCTTGAAGACTGGTGATGGGGTCCTGTATGTGGATGCTGGTTCACGTGGCTTTTGGTAATTATGACTCTCATTTATATATTTTGTTGCACTGGCTTCACATTCACAAATTAGTGCAAAGTCTATTCCTTACTGGAAAGACACTATTTTGTTTCTTACTTTAGCTTTTAGAAAAGTGGTATGTTAGTGATCAGACTTATTACTCTCATTTTATGCAAAAATTCCTTTATTTTGATTATAGTTATAGCTATATTAATGCTATAATGTAACCTAGAAAGTTACAATAAGTATATAATCTTTAAAATAAGATCACTGAAAGCAGTAACCAAATGATCAGAATAGCCTTGATGTGAACCCAAGTAGATTTTAAAGATATGTACATTCAATGACAAACGCAGTAACTGGCAAAACAAAAACAAAACAAGTTAAAGCAAGTGAGTTCAAAAATTACTTGGAATATACAATTTACTTTCCCAAGCCTATTGAAATGCAACGCATTTTTTTCCCAATAACCTTTTAAAAATATACATCTAGATTTCTAAAATAAAACATTGGTTCCTTCAATTATCTGAAAGAAAACTTTTTATGTTAATAGTTTTAAGGAAACTATAAACTGGTTTTCTCAGTCACTCCGAAGAGTATTTTCAGCTTTATATTAGCCTTATTTAAGTGGCTGGGAGAAACGATACATTTATGACTAACCAAGATAAAAATAATCAAACTGAGTCCATTTCAGGAGGAAGAAAAAAAATGTGGCTAATTTGAATTTTAACCAAAAATTCTAGTTTTTTTATAGAGCTTTATGGCAGACTATATGACTAAGACTCACATGTAACATTTATTTTTTGATTATTGCATTTTTCTTTTATTTGGGTAACAGTGACTACTATGGGACTTTTTGTGGGGGATGGGGACACAGGTTGTTTTTAATGTACGAATTAAAAACTAATGTGATTATTTCAAAGTACTCAAAAATGAAAGAACAGAAAAGTACTCAGGAATATATAACTTAAATTAAAAATTAAACAACCCTGCATTTTGTTGCTGAGTGAATGCATTTTGAGCTGAAAATAGCTGAAAAAAATTGCTAATCCACTGCCGAATTATATAAAAAGAACTAAAACAGGTTTCTTAGATTTCAAGGACAGGGAACTAGAATAAAAAAACAGTGTGTTTTCACTAAAGCCCCGGCTACCAGAAGCATAGTGGGGTTTACTCTTTTTCACCTGGTGGTCTTTTCAGATCTTCTCCTGATCCTTTATCTAAGGTCATTAACATAACTTCTTGGTAAAAAAAAAAAAAAAAAAAAAAAAAAAAAAGAGAGAGAAAGGAAAGAGGGTAGGGAGAGAAGACAAGGAGATCCAGGTGCTGAAACGGGACTGATTTTTCACAGCTGTGACCCCCCAGGAAGTCATTGTGTTAAGTCATCCTGCCGTATTGAAATCAGGTGCACAATTCTTCCCTCCTCGAAGCCTCCACGCACATACTATAGAGAGGTAGACTGGCATTTGTTTTGGATCCACGTTGGTATGTGTTTGGATGCAGGCACATGGATCATGAAAGGATAAGCAGCTTGATAAAACTGCTGCAATATCCTCCCTGAAACACAGTTTTGACAAGGATACTCTCTTCTTCCTCGCAAGTACATTTCTAATGTTTTCACCAAAAGTCTCTAGAAAGAAAACAATCTAAAGCACTGTATTACAGGCTTTCAGGAAGATGCACGTATTCACTGTTCCTTTTGATAAGCAATTCCCTTACATTTGCTAACCTGAAATAAAATCTATCCATAAAAAGAAACGTAGACACAAAGCAAACCAAAACGGCGTTCTTGAAAAACGGGAAGATTTCATGAAAGGCAGGTGGCTGGCATGCAGCAGTGGGAAGATCGCACTACAGAGGGTAGAAATCCTAAAAGCACACTGGTTCCCTATTACTCTCCTTGGTACTATGAGGGGGAAAAGACATGCACAGATCAGTACTCCTGGTGAGTTACAAAGAAAAAAAAAAAAGGCCTGCAAGGTGACACTATGATAAAGGGCAAGCCTATTTCCTTCCTTAGATTGCAACTACCCTCAGCAACATTTACCCTGAGGTATTCCTATGCCAGGTCAAGGATTTTCAGTCATTTAGAAATGCTGTTACTTCTGCATGCATAGCTCTCTCTCTCACCCACACTCTCGTACGGTTACATGCCTCTCATTTGTGCTTATTTATCTATGCTTTTCTGATAGTAAATCATCCTATCAAACGACCCTACCTTCCCAGTTCTTCTCATCACACAATGCAGTCAGGTCCAACTGGGGCACTTCGGAGACAAAGCTCTCTTGCTGGTCACCGGCATCTTGATTCCTTTGCTGTTTGGTGTCAGATAGGCTGGGATGCTCCTGGATCTTCATTGTGGGGCTCTGCAAAAACAGCACAATGTACCCAAATATCTACTGCTCACCCAAAACCCAAAGACGGCTGCAGCAATTCCACTCCTTTAGGAGAAAACCTCCCAAGCCATAGCTGCCAAGGCATCCAGCACAGAAATACAAATCATGGCTTGATGCCCCCCGGATCCTAGCTGGCCACTTGCATGCAAAAAGCAACTGTCCATCTGTGCTCCTTTAACTTTCCTCAGGCTGCTTTTCCCGATGACTGCAGGCAGCTGACAGTCTCGGTGATTACTGATTGGGGCCAGGAATGAGGGAAAGGAGTTTAGTGTTTTCTTAAAGGAGTATGGATCTCCAGACTGTCAACAACAACAAGGAAAACTGGGCGACTGCTGTTGCTAAGGCTGTAGCAGCAACATGGTGTCTTTCGCAGGTGGACTTCTTTGCCCCTTAGGTAAACAGTCCTGCAAGCCAGGAACAGAGGCTGTGTACGCGAAAGCTCCCCTGCTGGCCCTGGCTGCTTAGATCAATTAAACGGGGCTAGCTGCACATTCCCAGATTTCCTGTGGTTGTTTTCTCACTGAGTATTGGGAGAACAGACTATTTATGGAGGAGCTCTGGGTATTAAAGCATTGTTGCGCAAATTCAAACAGCACAGGGGTTTGGCGTCTCATCTCAGCTAGCAGTAAAGAATACGGACTCTGGAAATGAGCCAAAATTATACAGGGAGCAATTTTTTTTTAAAGTAAAAAGTCAAGAGCTGGCAAGTCAGTGATGCATAATTCATGCCTTACAAATAGGCAACTGTCACTTGTTTTCCTACTATTCATCTACTCTGAATATTAAATACTTGGCTACACTTGGTTTTGCTTATTGGTGGCACCCACACTAGGCTAGGACCTCTGAGGGATGCAGAAATCCTCCCCAAAAGGCTGATATTCAAGTTAATAATTTTATGTTTAAACAAATTGCGCTGGAATTCATTTTTTTTTTTTACCTTGCTCTCTGGGCCATCTGTAAACTGAACCATTGTCACTCTCCCCTGTCTCATACAATTATAAACAAAAGTGTTTATGAAACAGTTGGCTTACAAATGTATTCCTTAAGTAGCACAGATCTGTACAAAAGATTTTCTTTAGGATTAACTAGAAATGTATTTGGGCAAATATACTATCATTAAATGAAAACACTAAAAACATCTGGAAATCATAAGTGATTTCATTAATGTAAGAGAAACGTTCCGATGCTTAAAATAAAGCACAACTTAAGACTTCCAGCCACTTTTAATAGCTATCCAACCTACTTTGAAATCATTTGGGAACAGCCAGGGCTTTTTATGATTATATTTCCATTAAATGATGCATGGAGACTGATATTTTCTTCACATTTGAGATAAAATGAAATATCATCAATCAGGTCATGATGAGCTACTAAAGTCTTATAGAAATGCCAAGTAAATCTGGAGCTTTAAGATACTTTTAAAATGCTGTCTGTTTACTGGGGAAAAAAAACAGATTAGGCATTTATGTCACAAAAAGTATTTTTCCCTTGAGCCAAAGCCTAAGCGGACCAGGGACAAATGCCCAAATGCAGTTCTCAGCTTTTTACGTTACAAAGCCACTCAGTTACCAATCGTGTGTGTGCCTGGGTTGAGGGGGATGGGGGTTCAGGCAGGAGGAAGCAAAAGAGTGAGAATATGCATATATGCATACACAACTCAACATTTTCTCAACAAAGATTTATAATGCTTATTACATTTACAGGCATCAAAAAAATACCAGAAATATGATTTTAAAGTATCATATTTCCTTCATAAGGAATACACATCAAGTCATTTAAACCATAATGCCATAGAGAGGACAAGAGTTTGGCTTACAGGCAGACCTGGGTTTGAAGGGTGGCTCTGACATTTACTAGCCTGGTGCCCTAGCTGAGTTGCTTCCCTTCTCTAAGCCTCTATTACCTAACCTTTAAAATGGCATTAGTAATACCAATTTTGCAAAGTTCTTTGGAAGATCTGTCAGAAGGTATGAAAGACCCCCAGCATGGTGTCTGGGGTAGGAGACACACAAATGGAAGCCATCATTCTTTCTCTGCTACTATTTGACACCATGTGACAACAAATGAGTGAAACACTGGCACACCTCAAAATTGCTAGAGAGGGGAACTGGAGACAAGGCAAAGACAATTGCAATTTGAGGGGAAGCATACTACAACAAAGGATGGAAGACGGCGTTGAATGTATTATGAAAAAGTACGAGTGAAAAGAGCCACTGGTGTATCCGTCATGAATCAGCAACAGAAATTTTGATTTGGTGGCAGATAGGTGTGGGCTGGAGGGATGAGGGAGGACAGCTCATCACACAGAAGGAAGGAGGAATAACAAGTGCACATGTAGGTGTGAGAGCATGGCACGCTTGGTCACAGCAAGAGTTTCAGGGTGACCAGCCCTTAGGACAGGAAGGGGGAATGGCAGATGACAAGGGTGTCAGCTAAGTAGACGCTGGACTGTGAAAGGCCTCATATGCTGGGCTAAATATTATACACTCAATAAATATTATTTCATAATAGTGCTGCCTATTATGTCAGGTGCTAGAGATACAAATACAAAACTTATTCATTCAAAAGAAATGATTTTTCAGAACCTGCTATTTGCTAGTTTTTTCACACACTGGGGAAACTATGGTGGACAAAAGAAAATCCCTGTCCTAATGAGTCTTACAGAGAAGACAGTTAATCAACCAAAAACTGTTAAGGCTCTGGAGAAAAATAAAGCAAGGCAAGAGGGATGTTGGTGGTAGTGGTTGAGGCCTCTATTTTATATTTAGTGGTCAGGGACAGTCTCTGGGATAAAGTGACAGGAAGTGAGAAAGTGGGCCATTTGTGGAAAGAACATTCCAGGAAGAAAGAAGACAAGTGCAAAGGCCCTGAGGCATGGTCAGTTTTTCTGTGTTTCAGGAATAGTACAGAGGTCACTGTTTTTGGAATCTTGCAGAGGACAGCCAGAGCCACCATAAACAGAAGGTGAAGATGTGTCACATATAATGAGGCATTAGGTCATTCACACCATAGACCTATGTCAACTTACATGAGCTACACTTCCTGGCTGATTTGTGGCACAGCAGTGGAGAGAGCCCTCCTACATAAACCTACACCAACTGCCACAGCCCCGGACACACTAAGCCCAGCACGCGCTAACCGCATGTGGAAATGCACATGCAGGTTGGCCCTATCCTGCTGTGCTCCCATCAATCCCTGAGGCTGCTGTCTTACATGCCCGAGTCCCAACTTTTGGCCCTGCTGGTCTATGAACCTGACAGAGTTGCCTTGTCTGGGGTTGCAGACTGCTGATGGTTTTCTGTACATGTGGGTGCTGGGGATGCTGTCCTATGTCCTATGGCCCATGGTGAAGTTCTTCAGGCTCCATAAACACTAGCATAAAAACTGCTCTGCCTTCAAATGGTAGCCTAGTCTGGGTACAGCATCTTGCCCAGTTGCTCCACCCTCTCTAATAGGGCTCTTTAGATAGTATTGCAAAGATTATCATTTGTCTATATCTCCCACTAGGTCATTAAGGTTAAAACGTCAAAGGCATTCTGAAATATCAAAATATTTTTGGTTTCAACTTTTGTTATTTACATGTCTAATATCTTCTGTTAAATCAGAAAGTAAGTAAATTATTTTCACAATTTTCAGCTCCAAGATCCTCGTACTGTGATGTCATACACTAAACATTGTCAAAAAGGCTGCATTATATGAAAACACACCATGTGTACTGAAACAAATTGTTAGGCTCGTAGGTGAGACAATATAGTATGGCATATTAGGATGGGTTTTGGAGGCAGAGACTCACGTTTAGATAGCAGCTTTTCTAGCTGCAAGACTTTCAGTGAGTAAACTTCTTTAAACTTTTGCTTTTTTTTTCTCTCTCTAATACAGGAACAAGACTTTGTAAGGTCTGTGAGAGTTAAAATGAAAAAACGTGTGTAAAACAGCCTACAGAAACTGTAAACAATGCTGTTTCCATTACACCCTTCCTCCCTTTCCCATTCACTTTTTCATACATTTGGCAAGTGTTTACTGAACACATACTGTGTCCCTGGTGCTGGAATTTAGTAGCAAGCAAGATAAAGGATTTAGTGCAGAAGAGAGACACTGAACATAAAAGTGCCAAGTATCCTGTATGTTATAAGAGAAATACAGGATGCTAAGGGGTAAATATGAAGAGAGCTCACCTCTCCTGGGGCCTCGGGTAACATTTCACATTCAGGTCAAGGAGCCATTAATTACGAAGCTATCAGTCTAATCTTTGCCAAGACTTGTCCCTGTCTAGCTGGACGTACCTTTTTCTATCCCAAGACTTTATTTGACTCTGCTTTTTCTCTGGTTTCAAATAGTTGGTGAATTTTTGTTTTATTCCTTCTTTTGCCCTGCACAGGATATAGTTAAGTGACCTAATAGTTTATCAGAGCCAGGAATGACAATATCAGAGAGTACACTAATGCAGTTTGCAGAGGAAGAAACTACAGTATTAACAGAAGAACTACACAGAACCATAAACATTTTTTGTTTGGCCTGACAATAAAGAAAAGTGGATATAAATTTTCAAAATCCATGTGAACTGCAAAGCTTCATTAGCCTTTGACTATTGGATGGATTTGGAAGACAATTTGAAGTAAATAGAGCTTTTTAACTTTTCTGGTTATAATATTAAAATAAAGTCCTAAAGCTTCCATGAAAACAATGAAGTCAAAATAATAGTCCTCCATTTCATAAATACTTTTCAGAAATTCGCTTTTTCAGGTCAAATAAAAGCCTGTACTTGAGATCTTGTGATACTAATATTAATTATCAGTCTTGATTGAAAAGCCTTGTCTTCTCTTCTTCTTTCTCTCTTCTCTTTTTCATTTCCTTGTTTTTGGCAGGATAAGAAATATGGAACTAGTCTTTTTTTTAATTATGAATGTCTTGTTTGTTATCAAAGGTATGCTTCTAAGCTCTCTTAAGCAGTAGGCTTAGAAAGCATAAAGAATGTAAAAATATTTTGAAAGAACTTAACACTTCACTGACCTTAGAATTCTGACATAAAATGATCTCTCCCAGATAATGTAATTCCTTCACATGTAGTTAATAATTCTTACTTGTTTTGACTTCTCAACAGAGATTCATTGTAAGGTTTTAGTTTTAATATTCCGGATTTTATAGAGAAGCATAAAATATTTTCATCATAGAAAATAACTGATCAGAAGGGATTAAATTAAAGCATGAACTCCCTTGGAAACAGAACTCTGAAAATCTGTAATTTCAGGGATATCTTTTAGAATCTAGAAATTGCTAATTTTAAGGATGACCTCTCTTCTGGATACTTGTAGTTTGTTAAAAGGGTTGAAAAATACACAAAAGAACAAAGACTCTAGATTCTGCATGCCCAGTGTGCCTGGCTCTTCCTTATGTTATCTCATTTCATATCACCCAGATAGATATTTTATTAAAATGTCAGCCTTTCTGAACCTACTTGAAGAAACTGTACTTTAATTTTGGACATTTCGAAGTGACTCTTAACTTTTTTTCTCACTGCTAGTGGGTCACTAAACAAACTTTAATCCAAACCACACAAGGAACTCGTATGAAACAGAAATGGGTAACTCTGATTGACTAATGCTCATCTGAGATCTCAGGAGAACCTTTTTGGATAAGACTAGTTGCATAATTAAAAGAAATTAAGAAGACATGAAACAAAGGAATAAGCCCATGTTCACTTTCAACACATACCTTCAGACAAACACATTTAAGTCTGCAAATTGATTATTTAAAAATGGAGTCACAGTTGTAAGTTCATTTGTCTTTGAGCGGCAGGTCTAAGAGAAGCCTCTGCCTGTCTCTCTAGAGCATTTCTGAGGCTGAAAACAAATGTTCCTCATTCTAATGGAAAAATTTTCCAAAAAAAAAAAAAAAGGATAAAAATCACCTTTCCCCAAGGGCTGTCATATGCTATGTTATCTTATATGAATCTGAGAGTTTACGAGGATAATTTTAAATGAAAATATTAATAAGCATGAAATTTGTCTTAATGGAAAACAAAATTAGAAATATTACAATATATATTCAATAGTGGGCATGTAAAATCTGACATCTCAATCTTATGCAATGAAACCTGAAACAAAATAAATACTAAACAGAACTCTAAGATGAGTAACCAAAGTATAGACTTATTTTTCATGACTGAAAATTAAAGATTATTGATGTTTTTACTAAAAAACCAGATTAACTATTGAGTGGTATAAGTTTTAGGAAGTACTACATATATTAAAAAGTAGTAAGTAACAAACTTCTACAAAATGGAAAACAGCTCTTTTCACTGTCTTACATGGATAATAACAAGATAAGTTTCCTTTAGTGAAAAGCACATGCTTTCACAGGTAGAAATCACCCCAATCTTGTGGAGTGATGTCTCATTTTTCTCCTTTGGTGCAGCTGTGATAGAAAGGTGACATAGAGAGCTCAGTCTAGATTTTAGTTCACCGCCTAATTTTATCTCCTAACTGAAACCATCGTGATGACAATGATTATTATTAGTGAATGTCTCAGCAGTGCCAGCAGTGGCACTGGGCACTGACTGCTAGTTGCACATGGGTAACACACATAAGAAGCAGACCTGGAACATGGAAGAAGGATGTGAGATTGTTTCCCCATGATTCATCCCCTGCCCTGGGAGCTGTCCACGAAAGACTAAGGCAGATTGAGTTCAGTTTAATTTGCCATTTAGTTTGTGTGCCACTTGGAATTTATGAGTTAATGCTATGAAGTCCATCCACAAAGGTTACTTTTATTCCCTTTTATCTCACAAAACATAACAGGCATCAAAGGAAAGAACTGGGGAGACTTCTCCAGGAGACTGGCAAAGCGATTTTCTTTATAACCATATTAGATAGCAGATGAGTAGGTGCTTGCTGTGAGCAGAGGAAGATGGCAGTGAAAGGGTAAAAACATAAAAAAACAAACACAACACGACACTCTCATGGGGAAACACGATCTTTAAAAAGATGCCTAGAGACAAGGAAAGAATGTCAGCTTGTTGTCTGGGTCCCAAGAAGGAAGCATAAATGACTTGGAAATAGATGAAAAAAGTGGCTCAGAAGCTGTGAGGTCAGAAAGAGGAAGCATTCCTCTCTTATTATTTGGCTAAGTTACCAGGTGAAGAAGTATATATATGACAAGAATACAAGAGATATGCGGCGTCTACAGCATTAGTGTGTGTTCGGGTGTTTGGGGAATGGGGGTTAATTTCTAGCAGTTTTATACACAATTTTTTTTTATGAGAATACAATTTTCTAAGAGGGTCCATAGCTTTCTGATTTTTAATCTGCTATGCTATAAAACTCCATGGGGAATATACCAGCTGTAATTAAATCTCAGCTCCTAGCACAGTACCTGTACCTAGCAGGATTTAATATATGTTGTTGAATAAATCCATCAGTGAATTAGGTCAGTGCCCAACAGAGATGAAAAATTATTGGGTTAGAGGGAATGTTCTCTTTATATCAAGAGTCAGAATTTAAGACGAGGTTAAGAAAAACTTTAATTCTGGAAAAGCAAAACGGATAAGATTGAAGGTGGAGTTGGAAGTATTTGGAGGTTGAATACACATACATGAATTAAAAATGACGCTCAACAGACTGAATGGAAGCTGGAGTTGCAAGCAAGAGAAACCAAACACTTAGGTTAGCATGGTGACACCTGAGAGGACAAGTGGGAGGTCAGGAAAGTAAAAGAAACTTGAAGTTACAGATGACATAAGGGAGATGAGAGACTTTTTTCTCCACTGTTTATTTTAAATGAGGGAGGAAACTCAGCAAACAAATTGGATTAAGTAACTCCAAGTGAATTTATGTCAATTTGAAGATTCCTGACCTAATCCTTGTGACTAAGACTCACTACCTATTTATTTCAATCACTTAAAAAATGCATCAAATTGTGGAAAATAAAACCAGTAGCGTTGGGTTTTTGTTTTGTTTTACTGTATAGAAAATCTAAAGAGAAATCCCTATGCTATTAAAATTTATCATCATAACCAAAACAAAGTAATTCACAAGGAAAATAATGGAGTTCTTATGATTTCTCAAGGAATCTGTAAGTCTTGGTATTTGTCTTTCTAATCAATCACAGTCCTATTAATTTATCTCATATCCTTTATTGACAGACTAATATTTCAGAGGTATACTCAAGGGCTGTATATGAACAGCCCCATCATAGTCTTACTTTTACTTGTTAGCTACTCACCTCGAGATGCTGACTGTGTCCACCATCTTTTTCATTTTCTTTGCTATAAATAACAGCAATAACAAAAAATCATAAAATACTTGTTTCATAACAATGTTTTTCATCCATTGGTATTATGATTTTATTTTAAAAGTATGTTGAGTAGCTCTAAACCAAACACTTATAAAATTCAAAAACAAAACAAAAGATTAATCAAAACAAAGCAAAACTGGAAACACAAATAAACATGACTATAGTTATTTGCCTTCAATACCACTGTGATAGATTTTCTATTGTAAGCATTTTCTTTGCTATAAAATATTGTTGGTAAACATATAGTCCTTTAATTCCATTCTTTTTAGTTCTTACAATTCACATTGCATTACATGAAAATAACATTTTCTTGCCCTTGGAAACAATATGAGGAGAAAATTCTAAAATTACCTTTCATCAGACATCCTTTCAAAATCATCAGGTCCAGTTCTCTCCTGAGATCCTATGGAATTGAGACTTTCCATATTCTGTAACAGAACCATTATTGATTGCCCAATAAGAATGGTAAGACATATGCAATGCAGATCCCCTTTTCTTTAAAATAGAAAAATCAAATAATATATATAAACTAATTCTAGTCCTCATATTTTTAATCTTTGTTTAAAATAGTAAAATTATGACAGTTTATTATATCATGCTTGCACAGAATTGTATATTGAACTTTATTATTCCTTTAACAAAGATATGTGATAGCATCGTAGAAATGGTCATGGTGGCCTATAATGTCTCTCTTAGGTATTACCCACATTGCATAGCGAAATAGCAAAACCCAGATTGTTAGAGAATCAGGGTGGCTCTGACTTAGAATCAAGGAATCTGACTCTGACCTTGAATCTAATCAGAAATGATGTAACACTTACTCTTTCTCTCTCTCTCTCTCTATATATATATATATGTTTAAAAACATATATATACATATGCACACATACACCTTTATATATATTCAGTGTATATTGATAAGATTGAAGGTGGAGTATACACATGTATGTATATATACGTATATACATATATGCACGTGTGCGCGCGCGTGCACACACACACACACACACACTCAATGTATAATGCCAAGATGATCTAGAGTGACATGTTGCTAATACCTAAGCTGTAACATACCTATAAACAGAAACGAAAATTTGAGAACCTTTCTTTCTGCAATATTTAATGTTAATCTTTATATTAGCTAAGATGAAAAAAATAAAAACAGAAAACCTACTTTGAATAGTATGTATTTTAGGCTGACCAGGTGGGCTTACTGTTTACCAGGAGGCATATATGTACGATTTTTTTGACTGCCTTTGTGAATATAGCCAATGCTTTCTAAATATAATTCAGATGACTGGCACAGAAAAAGTAAGCCATTTCCTTGAAGGAAGATTGCAAATAAGCAAAGAAGGGTATATCTGAATTCAGTAAACTCAAAAACATAACTGCCTTGGAAATTTGGACCTGAATTTTGTTGAACTCAGATTTATATCTGCATTAAAAGGATATTAAGAATAATCCACTTATCCTGTATCATCAAAGTAAATTATATATATGTTCATCTACATATCAGTAACATCCCATTATAATAAAAAACGCTTTACTAAGTAAATCTAATTAATGTTCACAATAATTCCATGAAATTGGCATTTACAACCATCTCCACAAAATAAACACATAATTAGAGTAGAAAACTAATTTTTGACTTGGTAGATAGCTGTATTATTTTCCGTTTATGTTGGTTTGGCCAATTTGCCTGGAATTCTCAGTTTGACACCCTGGGCTCCATCAAAGAATAGAAATGAAGGGAGATAACATAACATAATAGTTATGATGGTGGCTGTAAATCAGAACTCCTAGGTTAAAATTCAAGTTCCACCATTTGGCAACTGTATGACCCTACTTGAGCCTTAATTTCCTCTTCTGGAAAATGAAGGTAGCAGCAATAGTTAACATAGGGTGGCCAGGAAGATTAAATAATAAATAAAGTACTAGAATAATGCCTGGCACATTTAACGAATATTATTAGTAATTGTTGATGTTATTGCTTCTGAAGCTATAATATCTCCACGGAAAATATTTTACTGTTTTTTGTTCACAGTTAAGACATTGTTCCAAGAACAGGAAATACAGTGTTTGTGTCTGCCATTAGAATATTAAGTATCAACTTACACACTTAGATAATTTTAGAATGGATCTGAGAAATTAAAAATTATAACATTTAATTATATTTATACCTCTAAAGTCTGAGTTAGAAGAGGTCTTTATAAAATGGTTCCCATTAAATCAAGAATAATTGCTCTTATTACCCAAATGTGACTTTCCTGATAAAGGGGGATATATCTATGACAAAGAATCTTAGTTCTCACTGGTAATTTTCAATAGATTATCAAAATCTTTAGTGTAAGATCTAGTGCAATAGTATTAGGTTTTCCTAAAGCTCTGAAACATGAATTTCAAAGTAAAGCACAATCCCCTATCTTCAGATCATTTCACAATAGTGCCAATGAAATGATACATTCATAATTACATGTAAATGACTATTTCCAAAGAACTAAACAGTTTCAGATCAAGGCTAAGAAATATTCAGATCCTTCCTGTAGGAGACAGCTTAAAAGAAAAAAATAAATAACATAAAAAAGAAATAGAAAGAAAAAGAGTGAAGAGAAAATAAGCCATAATAGCATTATCTAAATTTAGAGCCGGGTGCGGTGGCTCAAGCCTGTAATCCCAGCACTTTGGGAGGCCAAGGCGGGTGGATCACAAGGTCAAGAGATCGAGACCATCCTGGTCAACATGGTGAAATCCCGTCTCTACTAAAAATACAAAACATTAGCTGGGCGTGGTGTTGCGTGCCTGTAGTCCCAGCTACTCAGGAGGCTGAGGCAGTAGAATTGCCTGAACCCAGGAGGCGGAGGTTGTGGTGAGCCGAGATCGCGCCATTGCACTCCAGCCTGGGTAACAAGAGTGAAACTCCATCTCAAATAAATAAATAAATAAATAAATGAATTTATTGATTTTTCGGTTATAAGCTTAAAAACTGTATCAATTACATTTTTGTTCTTCTGTTTTTTTACCTAAACAGAGGAACAAAAATGTAATTGATACAGGTGTTAGGAACTACAGAATAAAGTTAGTTAGGTCACACAGTAGAAAGCTTTGCAAAAAGCAGTTGTGAGATGTGAGAAAGCTTAGTGGATCTCCAGGGTTAAAACAAGTATTAACTTCTTCAACTCCCTCCCTACCACTTTTTACACGTTTTATCAATAGGTTTAAGAACTCTTCAACAATTTGAGGTTTTGTAGATGTAATTCACAAAGGCTGATTTTTAATATCGTTTAATATTCTGCTCTAAGGTTTTTCAATAATTCTAATTGTAATGTTATTTCTGTACACAGTTGAGACTGCTGAATATTCATTGTCTGGTTTCACTAAAACAACATGCAAGTACACAGTGTTCCTTTCCTAAGGTAGCTGGGTTGCACCTATACCTCTTGGAAATGGAACATCTGAAGAAGATTACAACTGAAAAAGCAATGTTTTCCGAATGAAACTAACAAGGGTAGTAGATACCTATGAGTACAGTAACAAAACTATGTATTTCCATGGGCACAAAACGTTTTATAGATTCTAATTTGTATTCTTTGTCTTGGGGTTAGGGAGGAATGATTAAGATAAAGAAGTAGATCAGTAGTCTCTCTACTTCACTAAGATGAGGGAAGTGAAAAATGTAATGTACAGGTTAAAATAATGCTGAAATGCAGAATGTTTTTGAGAAGTATGCCGTTGGACCTTCAAATGTGCTCCAGCTACTAACAGTGCTTGTCTTACAAGAAAATATTGAGTCATTGTCTTTTGAAGGCTTTACACTGTTTTATGTCCCAAATACATCTCTACAAGGTGTGGTAAAAGAGTAGTCCATTAATGTTCTCATTGATTAGAGGCTGAAGTAATAGAATGCTTGTGAAAATGTTTTATTGTATTAATTTTTAATTCCTCGTCTAAATTTAGGATATTTTAAAGGTAATAGATAATTTTCAAAAAACAGCAAAGAACAGATTGTGACTTTAATTTAATAAAATTGCTTCTTGCATTGTAATTTTTTTGCAACCAGATAAATCCTAGTTTATAATCCATAAAATTCTGGTTCATATAAGTTCTATCAGTGACTTTCAAATCACAGATTCACTATGACATAGTTTATTTTGATAATTTTGGGGTGTCAGAGGAACTGAATTTTAAAGACCATTCTCCTTAATTAGAAAGATAACCTCAAGTCTAAAAGAGCAAAATCCTTGATAAAATTTCATTTGAGATTGTGGAATTTATTTTTAATTCTTTTTCTTTCTCCCTTTCTGTGTTGGCATTGAAAGCTAGGCTCAAAACCTGTCTGACCACTGACTGAAGCACTTGAAAACACTTAGAACAAAAACAAATTCATCTTCTAAAACTGTAAAATACTGACAGAGCCTTAATAGAGGACACACGCACAAATGCCTCTCTCGATATACAAACAGCTCAATCTGAAGGCTACAGGAATGCTGTTAGTCAAAACAGGCTCATTATTCTAACCTTGAGCTCTAAGAGAAGGAGAACAGAGTCTCGTTAAGAAAGGAATAAGGGCATGTTGAAATTCCTTTTTGTACCCTTTTGTACATTTTATGTTTTATTGCTCAAAATTGTATAAGCTCATTCATATTCAAAAAGAACTACTGATATCATGAAAGACGCCTATGAAAGAGTTTGCTAGCTGTCCACCCAAACCCACACTACGCTTCTTCCACCATAATAAAATAGCTATGTGCCCAGCAACAGTACATTTCCCAGCCTCTCCTGTGATCAGATACAACCATGTGACTAACTTCTCTCCAATGGGATGTGAAAAGTGATATATGTGGCTTCCAGACCTGGCCAATACAATGCTTCACCAGGTACAGATGCTCCTCAACTTACTATGGAGGTTATATCCCAATAAACTCATGGTAATTAGAAGACATCATAAGCCAAAAATACATTTAGTACACCTAACCTACTAAACAGCATAGCTTAGCCTAGCCTAAACATGCTTAGAACACTTACATTAGCCTACAGTTGGGCAAAATCATCTAACAGAAAGCCCATTTATAATAAAGTGTTGAATATTTCATGTAATTTATGGAATACTATACTTACTGAAAGTAAAAAACCAGATGGTTTTATGGATATTTGAAGTATGGCTTCTATTGAATATATATAGCCTTCTTTCCTTACTGAATAGTACACAAAGGAAAGGAATCCTAAATGTGTATATAAACATGAAGAGACTGATATAAGTTAGAAGAATATTCACTTCTTAGACGAAGGGTAGGTTGTGGTTAGAACACAAAGATAGACCTTTGGTGTTATGCAAAGTAGGGAAAAGCTGTTGGAATTCTTGACGAAATAGTCTTTAGATCAAAGTGATTTATGATCATACCACTCCAGTTGTCCATTAGGTTCCCTCCCC